TTGTCATTTTTCTGATGTTATGATGTTGTACAAATTCAAAAGTGCCCCCAGGCTGAAGTTCTAAAGTCCATAACTCAACTTATATTAATCGGATTTTAAAGTGGCATACCTCTAAATGTTTCTGGAGCAATTCTCTAAAAATCTGCATTCAAATTTGGAAATTTATTTTTTTTTAATATTTATGTCATTTTTCTGATGTTATGATGTTGTACAAATTCAAAAGTGCCCCAAGGCTGAAGTTCTAAAGTCCATAACTCAACTTATATTAATCGGATTTTAAAGTGGCATACCTCTAAATGTTTCTGGAGCAATTCTCTAAAAATCTGCATTCAAATTTGGAAATTTATTTTTTTTTAATATTTTTGTCATTTTTCTGATGTTATGATGTTGTACAAATTCAAAAGTGCCCCAAGGCTGAAGTTCTAAAGTCTATAACTCAACTTATATTAATCGGATTTTAAAGTGGCATACCTCTAAATGTTTCTGGAGCAATTCTCTAAAAATCTGCATTCAAATTTGGAAATTTATTTTTTTTTAATATTTATGTCATTTTTCTGATGTACAAATTCAAAAGTGCCCCAAGACTGATGTTCCAAGTCCATAACTCAACTAATCTTAATCGGATTTGGAAGTGGCATATCTCTAAATGTTTCTGCAGCAATTCTCTAAAACTCTGCATTCAAATTTGGAAATTGATTTTTTTTCAATATTTTTGTCATTTTCCTGATGTTATGATGTACAAATTCAAAAGTGCCCCGAGGCTGAAGTTCTAAAGTCCATAACTCAACTTATATTAATCGGATTTTAAAGTGGCATACCTCTAAATGTTTCTGGAGCAATTCTCTAAAAATCTGCATTCAAATTTGGAAATTTATTTTTTTTCAATATTTTTGTCATTTTTCTGATGTTATGATGTTGTACAAATTCAAAAGTGCCCCAAGACTGAAGTTCCAAATTCCATAACTCAACTAATCTTAATCGGATTTGGAAGTGGCATACCTCTAAATGTTTCTGCAGCAATTCTCTAAAAATCTGCATTCAAATTTGGAAATTGATTTTTTTTCAATATTTTTGTCATTTTCCTGATGTTATGATGTTGTACAAATTCAAAAGTGCCCCAAGGCTGAAGTTCTAAAGTCCATAACTCAACTTATATTAATCGGATTTTAAAGTGGCATACCTCTAAATGTTTCTGGAGCAATTCTCTAAAAATCTGCATTCAAATTTGGAAATTTATTTTTTTTTAATATTTTTGTCATTTTCCTGATGTTATGATGTTGTACAAATTCAAAAGTGCCCCAAGGCTGAAGTTCTAAAGTCCATAACTCAACTTATATTAATCGGATTTTAAAGTGGCATACCTCTAAATGTTTCTGGAACAATTCTCTAAAAATCTGCATTCAAATTTGGAAATTTATTTTTTTTCAATATTTTTGTCATTTTCCTGATGTTATGATGTTGTACAAATTCAAAAGTGCCCCAAGGCTGAAGTTCTAAAGTCCATAACTAAACTTATATTAATCGGATTTTAAAGTGCCATACCTCTAAATGTTTCTGGAGCAATTCTCTAAAAATCTGCATTCAAATTTGGAAATTTATTTTTTTTCAATATTTACGTCATTTTTCTGATGTTATGATGTTGTACAAATTCAAAAGTGCCCCCAGGCTGAAGTTCTAAAGTCCATAACTCAACTTATATTAATCGGATTTTAAAGTGGCATACCTCTAAATGTTTCTGGAGCAATTCTCTAAAAATCTGCATTCAAATTTGGAAATTTATTTTTTTTTAATATTTATGTCATTTTTCTGATGTTATGATGTTGTACAAATTCAAAAGTGCCCCAAGGCTGAAGTTCTAAAGTCCATAACTCAACTTATATTAATCGGATTTTAAAGTGGCATACCTCTAAATGTTTCTGGAGCAATTCTCTAAAAATCTGCATTCAAATTTGGAAATTTATTTTTTTTTAATATTTTTGTCATTTTCCTGATGTTATGATGTTGTACAAATTCAAAAGTGCCCCAAGGCTGAAGTTCTAAAGTCCATAACTCAACTTATATTAATCGGATTTTAAAGTGGCATACCTCTAAATGTTTCTGGAACAATTCTCTAAAAATCTGCATTCAAATTTGGAAATTTATTTTTTTTCAATATTTTTGTCATTTTCCTGATGTTATGATGTTGTACAAATTCAAAAGTGCCCCAAGGCTGAAGTTCTAAAGTCCATAACTAAACTTATATTAATCGGATTTTAAAGTGCCATACCTCTAAATGTTTCTGGAGCAATTCTCTAAAAATCTGCATTCAAATTTGGAAATTTATTTTTTTTCAATATTTACGTCATTTTTCTGATGTACAAATTCAAAAGTGCCCCAAGACTGAAGTTCCAAAGTCCATAACTCAACTAATCTTAATCGGATTTGGAAGTGGCATACCTCTAAATGTTTCTGCAGCAATTCTCTAAAAATCTGCATTCAAATTTGGAAATAGATTTTTTTTCAATATTTTTGTCATTTTCCTGATGTTATGATGTTGTACAAATTCAAAAGTGCCCCAAGGCTGAAGTTCTAAAATCCATAACTCAACTTATATTAATCGGATTTTAAAGTGGCATACCTCTAAATGTTTCTGGTGCAATTCTCTAAAAGTCTGCATTAAAGTTTAAAAAATTTTTTTAATTTAATTTTTTTGTCATTTTTCTGATGTACGATGTTGTAGAAATTCAAGAAAATTAAGGTATGTCCCAAGGCTGAAGTTCTACACCCCATAACTCAACTTATCTTAATCGGATTTTGAAGTTGAATACCTCTAAATGTTTCTGGTGCAATTATCTAAAAGTCTGCATTCAAATTTAGAAATTTATTTTATTTTAATTTTTTTGCCATTTTCTTGATGATTTTGTACAAATTAAAAAAAATTAAAAAATGTCCCAAGGCTGAATTTCTAAGCCCCATAACTCAACTTATATTTATCGGATTTTGAAGTGGAATACCTCTAAATATTTCTGGCACAATTCTCTAAAAATTTGCATTCAAATTTAAACATTTTTGTAATTTAATTTTTTTTTGTGATTTTTCTGATGTATAATGTTGTACAAACTCAAAAAAATTAAAAAATGTCCCAAGGCTGAAGCTCTAACCTCCATAACTCAACTTATTTTAATCGGATTTTGAAGTGGCATACCTCTAAATGTTTCTGGTGCAATTCTCTACAAAAGTGGTCTTGGCGTACGGCATCGAGTCATTCTATCTTATTTAAAATTTTGACTACTAATTTGTATCCATATCCAAAAGCCAAGTTTTTATAATAATTCAAAGACTGATATGTTCTTTAACAATAGATCGATTGGTATTCAAAATTGTTACCCATCCTAGTGTTATTTAATAAAACAAAAATTTTAAAATTTAATGTTTTTTTGCAGGGGAATTGCGTAAGAGTCCTATGAGTTAAGTTCGCAGGTGAGTACATCCACTTTATCCCTATTAAAAATTCAAAAATTGGCTAGAAGCTAAAATTTAAAATTATTCAAATTATTGATATCAGTTGCGATCATTTACCACAATTTACCACATTACAAATAGTTATAATTTATATGTTTATAATTATTTTTGTTTTTATAAAATATTTAACATATACGTTATATATGTACATACATAATATATATATCCTAAACGTAGATAATATAGATAAGAATGTGCAAGAAAACTAGACCTGTATTCAAGTGTACTTAAGGGTCTAAAACAGGAACAGATTTAGGGTCATCACGTTTTGACACGCTCGAATTAATTTAAGGAAATATAGGCAAATGAAATGATTGCATAAAGCTATCGGCCGTTTAAAAATATTTAATTTTAAATATGGTAGCATTTTTCAAAGTGCTGTATTTTCTGAAATACGCGATATTACACAGTTTGTAATTGTGTTTATTTTTGAAGGTGAATGCTTAAGTTTGACCAAAGTGTGCCGCAAACCTGAAAACCGCGAGTATAATATACGATAAAAATAAAGTGTGACCTCTGTTTGGATGAAAAAAATCGCACGAGGCGCCTAATGGTTCTCGTTTCTGTTCTCGTTTGATACTATCGCTATCAGAAAAACTCGATATACGATACGATATTATCGATACTTGAATTTCCATTTTAAAAGTCTTCGATTTCTTATGACGATCGGTTTAGGTGGACTCAACCAATCTGATCCATTTGACTTCTTTTATCCGGTGCATACCCGTTTAGGCTGCTTGGTCATAGTGGGATTTCATTTCAGTAATGTGTGAATGAAAGCTATAAAAGCTTGAAATTTTTGATTATAGAGACGAAGACGAGCAGCGCAAGTTTGTTTTAGAAGATTGCCAAGCCCACAATTCGCCTTAACTTTCAAGCCCACACTTTTCGAAAAATGTTTTTATTATATTTTGCATTTCATAATTTGTCTTGTCATTTTCCATCGATATGACAAAAGCATTTTTGCCATGTCCACTTGTTGCATGTTTGCGACTATTCATGCCTACAAAAGTGGTCTTGGCGTACGGCACTGAGTCAACCGACTCCAGCGATACTGAAAGAAAGATTTACATTACATTATTGCAATCGGAATATTGCGAAAGAAAAATTAAATCTGTACTTTAATAAAAAAACACAGAATTATTTTTCCAAGCAACGTGAATGTTAATATATTTTGGCACTTTGTAAATATAAGAAGTACCTGGAAGTGGGGTTCTACTTAATGATTTATACCATCAGCATAAGCTAACTTCTTAGAGCTAGAGTACTGAGGCACTTATTATATTTATACTTTTCCGTGCGCGACAGAAGTAATGATTCATAAGCTATATGAATACCAGAGTTCACAGATAAGCAATAATCTCAGTTTTAGTCTCAGAAAGATTTACCATATCCGCTTACCGGAAAAACCACTAAACGGAATTATTGCGATCGCAATATTGCGAAAAAAAATTAAATCTGTACTTTAATGGAAGTCAGAATTATTTTTCCAAGCAACGTGAATTTTAATATGTATATATTTTGGCACTTTGTAAATATGAAAAGTACCTGGAAGTGGGGTTCTACTTAATGATTTATATCATCGTCATAAGTTTATTTCTTAGGGCTAGAGTACTGAGGCACTTGTTATATTTATACTTTTCCGTGCGCGACAGAAGTAATGATTCATAAGCTATATGAATACCAGAGTTCACAGATAAGCAATAATCTCAGTTCCTTTCAAAGGGACGTCACTGTCGGCTTATAGGGAGAATCTGGGAAGGTAAAGATTAATGTTAAAAGAAGATAAAGTGAAGCAATAATATGAACACCAACCTGAAGATTTTAGATCGCCTTTCTCATCGAACTTGTATACACGACCATTAATAATACTCAGATCTGTCTGACTTGATTCCCTGTAAAAGTAAGTCGGCCAATTAAAGAATTCCAGCTTCTATTCGAGTATTTTAACTAACACATTAATGGCCCACCAGGATTTGACGTACAAATTCTTGCCGAGAAGCAGAATAAATCCAGCTATGGCCAGGCCCAGAATGCAAATTCCACTCCAGAAGTCTATGATGAAGAAATGCTCTCTCACTCTGGCCATTATATATACGACAATTTCCCGGATCCAAACGGCAAACACGCCCACTATATACGCGCTAAATGCATAGAAACTGGAGGCAAATAAAAAATAAATAGGTGCATAATAAAAGCTGCTTTTAGGGGTCCTACTGGGTCTTGACGATTTTTAGTTGAGTGCTGGGTACTGTAATGTACTGAGTATCTGGTGGCAATTCGTAAATGGAAAAGTAGGCCTTGAGACAGCATACAATGGTGAATATCAGGAGGAGTGCAATAGGTCCGTAGTAGTAGATCAAAATGCCCCAGGTGCGAACTGAAAATGCATAGATAATTCGACATTACTTCACTAGGTACTTTATTTTTTAACCTACCATCGAACCAGCAGTAATCTTCTCCCATGCCTGGCTTGAAGTGCTTGGGCAGCTTGGAGTCCTGGGCTAAGGACACCAAGAAACGAAGACCAATCACCGCCACGACTGCCAGAGCAAGACCCAATTGACGCACCGAGTTCTTAACAGACATTTGTTTAAATTTGAGCAGGAAGTCAAGACTGCAAATGGCCAGAAAGACGAAGGAGAGCATGATGCAGAAGTAGGCCAGAAATCCTTTGGGGTATAACAAAATAAGTCATCCGGTTGAAGTAGACAAAATTACTCAACCTATATTTCTGCAAGCCACATGCGTGAGCTTCATGGGATTCTTCAAGGCCAAGTAGACCAACAGGGAGTACCCAACGATCATGGAAAGCAGGTAGTAGATGATTAGCTGGCCATAGTGGCTTTTCCGGGCATCTCTCACAGAGCAAAGGAGAGAGAGTATGAAAATGTTTATGATGATGGCAATAATACTGCCTAGAAGAGAATGAGGATTAAAATCTTTGGAAATTATTATCACGACTCACAAATAGCGTAAATCCAAACCCGGTAGCCCGTTTGAAAGCGTTCGCAGTTGAGCGGAGTGAGCTCCCATTGCTCAGGCTTGTGCTCCAACGGGCTAAAGCAATACTCATCCGTCGACCACAGGCGATTGTCCCGCTGCAGCGTTCCATTCTCGAGGAGGTCCCATTGCCAGAAGTTCTCGTGCTTCTTGTCTACGAATTTGTTTCGGCAACCCAGCTCTGTGCGCACCACAAACCGATCGCGAATACGTACTTGTTCCACCGACCTATTCGCGTAGGTGAGCTCCACGTGAGTGGACTCCCGGACTTGGTGTGGCTTTGTGCAGTTCCAGTGCTTGGCATCAAAGACGAGGTTCTCCGGACAACAGAAACTGATGCAGGGCTTCAGCAGGCAGACGCAACCGCGTAGATGCTTCTTGGCCCGGTACTCCACTCCATCGATCACCTTGAAGGAGTACTCCGCAGTCAGATGCGGCGGGACCACTACTCCAGCATATGAGTAGGAGCCATCCTTCATCCGCAACCCATCCGTAATGTTGACCGTGTGGGCGTAGGCACAGGGATGGCTTATATTGGCAATCTCCACAGATTTTACGCCCACGGAGAGCCATATAACGAAAAGAGTGATCCAAGGCGAAACCATGGCCGACTGATCCATGCTTGTTGGATTTTTGGTCAATTCGTTCGGCGACCTGACGTCACAGCCTGATCAGCTCGATAATTAAGTAAACAAATATGAGAAGCGATCGCCGTTCGCTTTGAGCAATGCACGCACACTCGCCGACTCACAAATCTAAACCAACAACAATGGGAGCCCAAAATTGACAACGAATGTGACGCGGGTCTAAAAACGGCTGCGATTGCGACAACGACACAGACAACACCAAAAAGAACAACCATAAACATAAAAGTCTGGTGGAGAGTCTCTCCCAGCTAGTCTTGCCTCTCTCTAAACGACAAACGGGCAACCGCAACGACGCTCCATGCTGGCCAAGAATAAAAAACTGACTAACTGATTAGCCGTTCCCAAAACCAGACGCGACCACAGGCAGCCGGCAAAAAGAGCGATTGGGAGACTCACAACCCGTGCCGCCCCTCCTCCTAGAAACCCATGTGGAATCTCAACCAGCTCGCCTCTTGCACATTCATACCTCAAGCGGTAAGCATTTAAGCTATTCTAGCCACTACCAGAATTATCTTGAGATAGATATAGAAGTTGATTAGAACTCCAAGAAGTATTTATTTATATACGGATTTTATGGTCTTTGAGACCGTAGAGAAAATCAAATTTCGAACCGACATTCCAAACGATACAAACGACTTTGCCAGAGTTTTGATTTCTACAAATTTGGGTGCATTTCCCGGCTACCTGTGGGTATGTGAACTTGCTAGACATCGTTTACGATATTCAAGAATATTCAAAAAAATTGGCTATTGACTTTTGCAAACAGATGCGCTGAGGAAAAAATATTTTCGTTCAGTTTTATCTTTGGCTTTATTAAGCATGAAATACAATTATAGTTTTTGTATTACATTAGTTAAGATTATGCAGACATAGAGAATGGTACGTATGTGCAAAGAGAGGAATACAGTTATCGATCTCATTTTAACAAGGCACATCTATTACGTATGTTTATATGCTAGGTGCTTACCTTGGACTTAGGCTAATGGTGAATTACAAATTTGATCTCTCTGCAGATGTATGGAGAACCTTATAATTTTGTATGCATAAATATTAAACATGGCTCTGCATAACTTTCTTATACAACTAATCAGGTTGTTCGTGGTCACATGGCAATTAAAAAAAGAGAGAGAATGGGGCGGGTAGGGGTTTTCGTGGTAGTTCTGGGGGATAGGGACTTTCTCTTATAGTAGTGTCTTTCATAACGTTCTATCCGTATGTGTTGATTAGAGAATAATCTCCAATAGGAATAGGTGGTCCTAAAATATGAATATGTGATCTTTATGAACAGAAAGGAACGAAGTGTTCGCAATAGTCCGGGGACGATCAAGACGAATATTGGTGCGATTAGTCCTTCCTGATCTGCACACATTCCAGTGTATTCAATGCTCGGCCCATGGCAACTGGATATGCTGTGTTCAGCGGAAGATGGTGGTTTTTTGCGGATCCACGCTCGAGCTGATAACTAGCGGTTTCTCCGCCGATGGCTTCTCGTGCAGCGACAGATTGGCCACGCTGCTCGACGTGGTCTTGGTGGAATATTGGCTCTGACGTTGGTTGCTGCCATCGCGAACACTCGAGCATCTGTGGTCATGTGAAGTGGTGAAGAGGTTATGACGTCCATTGCGTGGGCAGCGTGGAATAGACAATGGCGGTAAATCTGATTAGAATTGGTTCGATTGAGTGTTTGGATTTTTAGTAAGGGGAAAGCAAACACAAAAAGCGATCCTATAGGATAAAAACAGATTACCTTCACCAAGACACAAAAGTGGATGGTCATTATGATTAGTTTCGAGGGGTTAGAGGTTAGAGGTTATCAGGGTTATCTAATGTTCGCTTTCAACTGGGGTTAACTACACTGTCTACTTCTCCACTTCCGGAGGATTACCTGTGACCAGTTTGATTAGATGTCTATCTTCGGGGTCGGACTCGGGTTGGTGGTTTTGCCACCGGCCCTTTCAACAGCCTTAAGGTGCAGCTTTCTCGGCTGCACATTCGAGTCGGAAGTGATGGAAGTCGATGTAGTGGTCGAGCTCAAGCCATTTGAGCGGGTTTTCTCCAGGAGTCTTCAATGGATAGCGATCGATGATGATCACATTAATGTTGAGACACATGCACATATGGACACACATTGTAGATGCAAACATAAGTTTGTGTAAGTTTAGATCAGGGCACTTAGGAATGGTATTTCTAGTAGCTACAAAAACGCGACCGGACTGAGTCACCGAGTTACGCGGCTGGAGATTGAGGGCTTTGTTGGCTGTTAGTGTCTGGTTTAGAGTTAGTCTGCTGGCAGTGTCTGTTGGTGTTGAGCTTGCAGTTAAGCAATATCGAAAGCGGTCTGACAACGAGATAAGTACAACATACATATAAGGTATATAATAATCTGAGGTTGCACGCTGTCAGGACTCGAAGTGCATACGTATTCCCATAATCTCCCACGGGTTTTCCATCATAGTGCAAGAGATTTAAGGATCGTGAAATAGGGAAGGAAGTGTATAGCCCGAAAATGGTCAATATTCTCGATTAAAGCGCGGGTTAGCGAAGGCCACAACAAACGAGCAACCGCGCAATATAGGACCAGCTTACTGCCATCGACGAATTCGATTCACACTTCGTGTGAATGATTACCACTGGTGGATCCATTGGCAAAGGCGTTGCGGATCACCACCAGCTTGCGGATCTGGTTGGAGGCGTCCATAAACCGCTGCTTCACAGAAAACGAAGTCGGCCCCATCGTTACGCTCTCAGTCTGCCGCAGACTGCGGACACGTATCGTTCTGAGAATAGTCGGGGTTACAGATTTGATGGTGGACAGAGCAGGAGACACGACACACAAGATGGGGTCACAAGTCGTGTGAATGGACAAACGCCCAGGTGGACGGGACAGGACAAATCGTGGTATTAAAAATAAAGCAACACTTACCTGTTTGTGATCAAGTGCTTGACCTTCTTCTTCATCACAAACAACATAAAGATGAGAAAGCCCTGCATAGCATTGGCCAGATCCGAGATGTAGAAGAGCTTAGACCACCCCTTGTCGTTGCCCACGAAGTACGAGATGAGTTCCGTGAGCCACGTGATGCCCATAATGAGGAAGAGGCGCAAGAACAAGCCGAACCTAGGGTTGGACCAAACACGATAAAAGGTGGATAAGAACAACTGAAGAGACGGCACTCACTTGTCCTTCTCGGTTCGTAGGTTCTTGGTGCTGTTCTCACTCGCAATTATCCGGGCCATCTCACGCTGCACGCCGTGAATCTTGATTGCCGTCATTATGAACATGATGGTGTTTGCAACAACGATCACCAGAATGGGACCGTAGAAATAGATCATGGCTGCCCAGTTGCTCATATCCAGCCAGCAGTACACGCCATCCCCAATGCCTGGCTTAAGCTTTGGTGGCAAATCGGTAAATTCCTGGGCGCAATAGGTGAAGGCCAGGAAAACTACGGCGATACCCCAAGAGTACAGCGAATAGAACAGGAAGCGTTTCTTCTCCTGGAAGCGGTTGATGCCCCTTGTCCCTCGGAAATTGTGCCACAAGTCGAAGCTGATGACACTTAGCCACATGTAGGCTCCCATGAAGAAGAAATAGGCTGTATATCCAAACACTTTGCATACTTCACCCGTGGCATCAACGTTAAAGAGTTGCACGTAGCCAAGCGAGGTGTAGCCCACGGTGAGACCAATTAAATAGCAGACCAAGCTCTTGCCGTGCTGGTTGCGGAGCTCGGGAATCAGTAGGTAAACAGCTATCGTCAGCATCATGAAGGGAATGGAAAACATCATGGCTGGTGATCGTATTAGATCGTATTAATACAACGGAGTTTAGTTGATTGTCCCACTTACCATAGGCATTGATAATCTTTACCGTGCTATGATCGTCCTGCATGTCACAGTTAGCCGGATGAATGGTATAGAACATGTCCGATTCGTTGACGTAGGTCGGAACCATGCAGAACTCGTTCTTCCTGATTAGCTTTTGATCGTCCATACGGAGCATGGATCCGTTCTCAAAAAGCAGGTAATCATCCCAATCGTTGGCCTCTGGCTGCAGGGAAAACATCTTTGGACAGGGTCGGAAGCTTTGGATTGCAAACTGCGCAAACATGTTGACCAATATCGTAGACTCGTTGCGGAAGGTTATATTGAGCATGGGCGGATCTGGCCACGTTCGGTTGTCGTTGTGGTCTATTATGCATCCGTCTACTTTAGAGTTAAAGACCTGCCGCCACGGGCAGCAGATATTCAGGCAAGACTTGAACTTGCAAACGCATCCCCTCACGTGCTCCCGAACCTCTATTCGTTCCGTTAGCGAACTGTGTATGTAGTCGTACGTTCCGACCAATTCGGCAGGAACTATTGTGCCGTAGTAATCGTAGCTTCCGTTCGGGAAGACCGGATGACCCGTCAGATTGACCGTATCGTAGAAGTTACAGGGCACATTAGGATCATCTATGGTGTGGTAGTGGTCTCTCTCGGCCATCACGTAAGTGCCGAAGGGAATCCCCGGAATCATGCGGAACACGACCAGGCACAGGACGCCCAGTAATGTAACTCCGCAATAGAGGGATCCGCCTGGCTGCTGGATTTTCTTCGGCATAATGGTGGTTCTGGAAATGGAAAAAGAATTATTTAAATATTATTACTAATTTATTTAGTCAGTGAGTCCCAATCCATTGCTTTCAAATTCCACCAAAGCTTATGACTGACAAAGAAGTATATTTCAACATTATTTTAATTAAACATTTTTCTGACTGGGGAATGAGAAAAGACGAAATATGTAATATAGTTGTAACATGAAGCGAATATATTTCACTATTTCTTCTTTTGGGGTCATGCATTTTGTGTATTTTGTTACGTTGAAATATTCAGTGAATATAGTAATTATAGTTAGTCGTAAGTTACATCCGTCGCAACACGCAGCAATTAACCCTTAGCAAGTGAAGCCACCAATTAAGTCATATTTCCCGATTAGTTAGTCGTTTTATGTTATCTAAGCCAGTTCACTAATTTCGGCTATAGAGCTACATCTATGGGCCATTAGTGGGGCGAGTAGTAAAGGATCTACACAAACAACAGGTTGTCGAAATGAATTAAGGAGGCGAAACAGGATAGCGTCACAAGCAATTAGCAGCCAACGTGTCCCATGGGGAGGAACTAGGAGAGGACTTCCCACGACCACAAGGAAATTCTCCGCGGGACATCAATCATAAGGTCAGCCACGCAGGGAGTGCAGACTGAACCAACATTTATGGATTCGTGTTAAATTGATAGTAACTGCCATCGTCTGTCAATAGAGGTGACATTCTCCCCAAACTTCACTCCAATCCAATCCCGATCTGCCCACTTTTGAAGCGCTGCTAACGAGCCCGTCCATAAATTCATTACCAGGGCGAAAAGTTATACCGCCTGCTATCTTATCTTGCATCATTAGGCTTTGGGGACCAACTAATTCATTGATCCGCTGATTGTTTGCCTTTGGGGAAGGAGCAGAAGGGTAACCTGCGGCATTGACAGGCGTGTGTGCCACTAAATTAGTCTGAATTTATGGGAGGCGAACGGGCGGAGAAGGACAAACACATTTAACTCCGCACAGTTGGCTAATGGGGAAAATGAATGCCAGCGGTGGGAGGAAATGCTAGAGCACTTATTTTGCGATGGAAAATTAGCATAATTAAACGCTGAGCACATGCACTTGGGGAATTTCAGCAGACTAAATTCAATCGTATATATCTGCCCACATTTAATGTGCGAAAGAGAGCTGCGGATGTTTGAAAAATAATCAAAACATGCGGAACATTAAAATCATGAAAACAATTTGCCATAAAATTGATTTATAGCCGGCGATCTTTTCCAATAAACCGATTGTCGAAAATTTCCTGGACCTCGCGAGTGCTCCCAAACTTATTTCATTAAAGCAATATTTCTTCTAAGGTTTTTGTTTGTTTATATTTTTATTGCCAAACAATTACTCTTGCTGAATTGTCTGAATTAATTTTTACCTGAAGAGTTTCATATAAGGATAAGTCAAAATATCAATGCACGAAAAGATTAAACATTCGAATCGGAGTAATGACGTTTGTGACGAATAGTGACTCCAGAAATCCAAAACAGCGCTGCATGCAATCCTAATAATCAGATTGATTGTTTAACATTTGATCGTAGCGGAGTGCGAAATGGGGGAAAGTTCAGAACCCCGCCCTACTTAAGAAAAAACATTTAAGACAGTGATTTGGTGTTAACCAATATCTTTCTATCGCAAGTAAGCGAGAAGCGTGTTACGATTTTGCTATTCTGTTTGATGGGTAAGAACTTTAATCGGAGAACAGTGGGGAACTTGAGATATGTTTTCGATTTCGTAGCCGACTCGTATAAAATTTCTTATATGTGGTCGGTAACCGATAAGATAAAGTCATTTTGCCAACGACGCCTGCTAATATCTGACAAAAGAGTATGACTTCTTGTTTATATATATGTGCAGAATGCTCTGCGGGTGACTTATCGTAGCGAATCCCCACTTCTAGTTAAATACGTGGACCATTTACTTACAGATGACCGGCTATGCGACCCCTTAGGTTTTTGGCTTTGGACTCCTTTATTATCTGGTTGATTATGACAGTTTGCGAATTGTCCATGGTCAGGATGTGGCTGAGTGTCGGGGGCCCTGAGTCATCCAGTGGCTCTAAGCCCTCCTAAACGCCATTAAAATCCAATTAACTTATGCGACACCCTGGGCATAGAACGCATTGAAAATTTATCGGCTCGAAGTCACAAGGCGTATACGCAATTTAAGCAAAGTGCGACACCATTCACATATTAAAATCGAAAATGACCGAACAAAACAATAACCATATATGTGCGCTGTAAAGTACACGGAAACGAATTTAAACTCAAGTGAACTGAACTCACATAAATAATAATCTGCGCGTTTTTTTGATTAAGTTTTTATGCTAACTGTCTTCTTTCTTGGGTTTTTCGTTGATGTTTTTACTCAACCACTTTACTGCTTATCACGTATGCCACAAAGTCCCTGGAAATATGTCTCATATGTATGCCCATTATCTTGCCGAGGGCCGCGCGGTTTTCAGTCCGTATGAGAAGTGAAACTAATCGCCAAAGCCAGGAGACACTGTCGTGTGTGAAATCCATAATTTGAAGTCACCACACCAAAGTTTAACTGAGGTGAGCTACGGCGGTTTTTTGCTTCTCTAGATAAGCGGAGGTTACAGGGTCCAGTTTTCTTTTTTGCCCGCAAACAAACACTTAACAAAACAATTTTTAATAGCCAGCCAATCCATTGACGGGTTTGCTGTTGCTCGAAAATTTTTGGTGAGAAAATTCCAACTTGAGTATTTTTAGACCCCCGATGCTGATGCCTCTGCTGTTCGCGGATTGTAAACAAAGGCGGGCGGTTCTATCAATTGATTGCCATTAGAGTGGGCGGGTGGCAAGTTCGCCAAATATTATTCCACTGGCACTCGACTTTTTCAAGGGGAGAGAAAGGCTCGACAGTCAACAGATCCCGTTCGGGAACTCGAGACGCCGTCAGCATTGGTGTCTGTTAGCACTCCTACGTATTGATGAACGATTGGTCAAAGGCCATTTTAAAACGCCGAATAGCCCGGGCGAACCCCGAATAAGTTCTTATTTCTATACTCTTGATAACTTTCTGTGTATTGTATTTCTATTAAAAGCTCGGTTCTAACGAGGAAGACAGCACAAGCGAATCCATGATGGTTTTCAAAAAGAATTGACTAATTAATGGATCCCATCAAAAGTCTTACCATGCTCCATCTAAATCTCATTTGAAAAGAGAAATGCCTGCTAGTGGTTGCTCAATTCATATTTTTAGACTATTCTGCGTAGGGTACATTACTTAGTTTGTGGAGGGCTAAGTAGTGGGATACACGACATTAAGGGAAATGTTCATATTAGCCCCTGGAGATTAATGTGTTATAATTTATAAAAGTGAGATCTCTTGGCAAGACACAAGTCAAGATAGAAGAGCCGTCGGGAAAAACTGTTCGGTAAGTACAAAATCATTCCGCTAATTAATTGGTACATGCACTTGGCTAATCATGGAAATAAATGCACAGCGGGATACGCTTGGCCCCACCCGAATCTCTAATGTCATGATAATAACAATTGAATAAAACTTTAGTTGCAAGTGCACTTGTAAAGTGACCTAGAACATGTACATATATATACTTTGCTAATATTCATGGCTAAAACACTGGACATGTATTATATATGTTTATATAATACTCCGGGGTGCGTGATATATTTTAATTTAATACTCAGAAGCCAGGAAAAATTATAGTGAAATAAACAAACCTCAAAGCAAACAATAAACAATATTCCAAGATGTTTCAACAACAATTCCCAGCCAAATGTGCGAAAGTGTAAACAACATTTAACAAATTCGAATTCTGAATCGAAAGAAACAGTTCAGACCGATTGGATGCCCAAGGTGCGTTCTGTGCGGGGTGGCCAGCCATTTCATTATAATAGCCCATTTTCCCAGTGACTCAATAAAATTGCAACGGGTGGAAGCAGTTGGGTAAACAGCGTTCAGCAGTCAGCATTTGTCATGCAATTAGTAGTATTAAGATCTGATTTCTAATCTGAGTTTTTCAAACTCGTAAACTCAATTGCCATTACACTGTTATGACCATTGGTTGAAATCGTACACGTTCTTACAAGTGCGAATCTTTGCAATTGCGTTAGACGCCTTCGCTAGAAAAAACCTTATAGGTGCAATATAATTTGTAAAATGAAGTGCTAAGAGCCATTATATGAACGATCCCAGTAGTCGGCATGCACTTACCCAGTTCAGGTGGTGAATAATGTGGACACTTAAAGTAGTTTGCTGAGCAACAGAGTTCTTCCTGTTGTTGTTGTTCCAGTTTTAGATCAGTGGGGAATTTTACGAACGTCAGTATCAGTACCTGAAAACACTGGCCAGGTATTGATGGGTAAACAAAAACAGTCGGACCTCTGTGAGAGTCTTTTGGGGTTTACGGTTTTTTTGTCGCCTTGCGAAAAGGCTTTAACGAAACATGGTTTCGGTTTTAGGTTCGATCTGCGTTACGAGTTGTGTGTTTTTAGCCGGTTTACTTATGCAAATTGGACCTGCGAAGAGACAGTGGCTCAAGGCGGTAACCACATACAAGTTTCTCAAGAAATCAAGAGATCCTCATATCCATAATAAGTATAAAACGCGTCTCTTTCTCAATATTTTTCGAAACACACTCGCTTTGGGGAATTCCCGGGAAGGTGGGTGTCACTGCGCGATCGGGCAGCGAACCGGTTACGATTGTTCGGGTTTCCAGACACCGGCAAAATCACACGCTAGCTTACGAATTAATTAACATTGGCATTCTTAATTCGCGGTCCGATATAATGATAGCAGGTTTTCGATGGAGTTTTCCCAGTTCCGACGGAGCAGCGCACCCACGACCAGCGACGTTTTGAAGTCAACTGAGGAGCTAGCGGATATATAGCAGACCTATACCAGAGCTCTGTTAGAGGTCTGTTAGCCGAGTGGCTTGCCGACCGCTGCGCTAATTGAAAGGCAGGCAAAACAAAGTGCCGAATCGAACAATGCGAAATTTGATCGAGTGCCAACAGAGGCTCGATTGTGTCTGTGGGCAAACAAAACAATTATCGGACGATGAATGGACTTCTTGAGTGGAATAGTGGCCCCGGGCGAAGCACGGGAGCTGACTCAAATTGCTGTACTTACAAATTAATTAGCAGGGCGCCAGAGCAACCAACTCTCTCTGAGTTCTCTCGCCTGCAGCAAGAGTAAAAGAGATTATTCTTTGTTTTGATCTGGTCAATTTCTCGCCGATCGACTGCTTCATAATAGAACGTACCGTACTCTTAGGAAGGTGATTATGATAGGTTCTTTGCTGGGGACTAAGCTAAACTCATCTGTTGATAAGGCGTGCGCAGTTGACCTTGGACAATGAAGAGACGAGCTTCGGCAACAAACTGAATATGACTGAAAATACACGACAAAATCAGCCAAATAAATAGCAGCACAATAGACCTATTAGACCGCTATTATCGATTTACATCTCTAAGTGTTACTTTATTGAGTTGCACAAATAAATACAACGGCAAATGTGAGCCATTAAAAGGAAGCCAAATCCCACGTCTCCAAAATGGGAAACAGATCATTAGCACGTACTGAACGGATAATTAGTTTAAGCAAAACACAGCTCGTGTTCGGATTCAGCTGTGTTTGAACAGGCCAAGTACAGCCATTACGCTGGTCTTCAAAACCTTCATGGATAAAAACAATAGATATGAACATTACAAACATTAATAATATAGCAAATAATAGCACTGAATCTGCTGCACGCCAAGAACGGGACAAATGATTCCGGGCGAGGCTTGAAGACTCTAGGTGCTTCTGCGGTATTCCCTAAAATTGCTTGCCTTCATTTCAGCGAACTTGAAAATAAGAAACTGGTTTTAGCATTGAACATGAAAATCGGTACGAAACAATTGGCAATACATGAAGAGACAACGCGACTGTTTGTTGTGGGCCGAGGCGAGACATTAAAGTCGCATTATACATCACAGGCATCCGGCAAAGCTCCTCTGGTTTCGCAACCCGACGAGGCGCGGATTCCCGAACATCGAGGCCTTGAACGGGAAGCATTCCAAAGAGCGATCTTTAATTGCCTAAGAGTGTCTTACTTAGTACCTCAATGTTTTCACTTGCTTGCACTAAGTAGCACAAAGTTTGAATCACAATGTTTGCGCCGGATTCATTATATTTGGTTTCGGGCTCTACAAATTTGTTTTGTAAATTACTGTTTAGAGATATGCTTAGTGGACCTCAGCTGGGGATAGATAAGCTCGACTAGCCGGATCAAATGAGATATATCCGACCGATAAGTTACCCGATTGAACCGCAAGTGAACTTCTTCGTCGGTCGAATTCGCTGCGACTGAAGCCCATCGTCTGCGATGCTCCACTTTTGCCGGAATTCCGCAAAGCGCCACATATCGTCCAAAATGCTGTGGCGGAAAGCTGCACCAATTTTATTGAAAGCTTTTATGCGCCAGCGGATACTTTCACCATAAGTTAGGGCCATGCGCACCCCAGCGGCGTAAAGCCTAACTTACTACTGGGCTGATCAGCTGATCAGAAACCGAACTTGACTTGATCAGACTTAATCGATTAAGGTTGTTTACTTTTTTGGCTAGTTAGGATTCAACAAGTGGTAGGCGCAACTCGGGGTTCCATTCCTCGCGGTGTAGAAGTGTGGGCAGGTATCAATTGACCAATTGGGAATGCAACCAATAGGGAATGTAATGGTATTTCAACACGACGAATGTTCTCGTCAGGGAAATCCGATTTATACTCACGTTCTAAAGCCACATAAGATGAGGTTACTTACAAAATATGTTGACGCAATATTATTGCAGTATTATTTTCTATTTTCAAAAGTTAAAAAACTTCATGGGTTAAATAAATGTAAAAGACAAGCATCCCTTACTAAAAAAAAGGTTTAGTAAGAGTGATTACACAAAACGGTTTTTTTGATACGTTACACAACTTAAAAGTTTAAATATATATACATGCAGAATTACTTAATTATTACTTAATTATATGAAAGTCAAGTTCCGTGTTTTATTTTTTAAGGTTTGTTACACGGTAATCCGACATGCCATGGAGAGTGATCCTCCTCGTGGATTTTGGATGGTTCCTAGCAAAGAAAATCGAATTAGAATAATGACAAAACATAAGGTAATAATTCACGAGTAAAAGTGCAATAATAAATAAATAAATGTGTGGGACAAGGAACACCATGCTGAGTAAGTAAGCAGAGCTTTAGAGACAAGCAAGAAAACCACATGTGCAAGTGACTCAAAACTGATCCGTCTGACCAAGACCACAGGACTACAGTACTAAATTAGTGGTTTTGATCTTGCATGCAAGTACGCTTATCAGTACGCTTATTAGTAGAACAAATAATTCCAACACCAAATGCCCAAGAAAGAGTTCTCTTCGGATTACCTATTACAGGGCATTTTGATAATTCTTCCTGTCCTCGAGCGAAATCTCCTCTTCGCTGTTGTTGACCTCCTCACCCTCACCCCTAATGCTGCTCAGGCAGAGATAATAAGTGGACCTTATTAAACGAAATCATTGCAGACTTGCAGATTGCTTACCTTTTCTTCAGGAGTCTCAACGTGCTGGGCTTCAGAACAAACAGTATAAATATGATGATTCCCTGGGACCAATTTAAGTAGTCAGCCACCAGAAAGACGTTGGCCCAAGTTTGGTTGAATTGCGCAAAGTAGGAGCCGAACTCCAAACTCCACGACAATCCCATTATGATGAAGAGCCGCAGGAAAAAGGTGTAACTGTAATCAAATCAAAAAGAGCCCGGTAATCGAAAGCCTATCTTCAAGAAAGTCTTTTAACTTGCGTCTGTTTGTCCGAGTTCAGCTTCTGCTTCCTCTCTTGCCTGTGGGCAAAGTTCTGAATGTCCTTCTTCACTCCTATTATACGCTTAGCCGTCAGGATAAACATGGTTATGTTAAACGCTATAAGAAATACCATTGGGCCGTAAAAGTAGAGCATGGCTGACCAGCCTTGAGCTATTGATGACAAAGAAAAAAGCATAGTAGAATACTATGTATGTGGCTTTCACTTGGAAGTCGGTACCCACTATATATCCAACAGTGTCCCTCGGCGCCCACACGAGGATTCCAATCCTCGTTTTCCACGACCTTATAGGCCAGACAAGTGATTCCGGTGAGGACCACCGCCATGCCCCAGGCATAGGTACTGTAGGCCGCAAACCGATGCTCAGATAAGAAGCGATTCCCGTTGTGGGAGGTGCCGCTGAACGTGTTCCAAAGATGCAGACTGATAACGGAAAGCCAAAAGAATGCGGCCATGACAAAGAAATAGCCTAGAAAACCTGAGAAAGTCGTTATTGAACATGTTCATCGCCGTATAGTCTCATGGTGACTAACCTGCTGTTATGCAAAAGTTAAAGGACATCTGCCACAAATCGAGCAATAGCAAAAGATACCCCAAGAAGAGACACACCATGTAGCACATAAAGCATTTTCCGTGCAAGTTTTGTAGTTTCTTAACGAAGAGGTAAACGGTGATCGTTAGAGCCATGCATATCAGCGAAATGATCATCACTGTTGGGAGAAAAGGTATAATAACCAGGAAACTCAGCTGCTTTTATGGTATAGCATACCAACCGTCTGTCCCGTTCTGGATGGCAGTATTAGGCAGTTGTGAGGTGCAATTCGAATAGACGTTGCATTACCATCTGTGAATGTAAGATGCTGAAGGCAGTACTCGCGCTTGTTAAGGGTCACACGGTCATAGTAGCGAAAGAAAGTTCCGTTCTAGAATAAAAAAATTTAAAGTAAACCAGGCACAGTCATCAATTCCATATTAAGCAAATAAACCTCGAACAACGCGTATTGATCCAGTTCATCCCTGTTGTCTAGAGAGAACATTCCGTCACACGGCATCGGTAGGTCCCACTGGACGATTAGTTCTTTTTTAAAGTGCCTGCTGAACACCGTCCCGTCGTCAAGAGTCACGTTAAGAAAAGGATCCAGTTCAGTCAGCTCCTCCTCGGTCATGTTGTCGTAGCAGACGCCATTATCCATTATGTGGTTGTGGGGGCAGCAAAATCTGACACAGGGCTTCACCTTGCACACACATCCTCTTATGTGTTTGCCCACCTTCTGCTTCGAGTTGTCCGGGAGGATCCTGAACTCATATTCTCCAGTCAAATTGGCCGGAACGAGCAACCCCTCGAATATGTACGATCCATTCTGTAGCTTTTGAGCTGCCGAAATATCGACAGTGTCGTAATAATCGCATTCGGGAATGTCTGCATTTGATTTTTGCAGAAGCAGCCCAACAACTATGATAGTTAATATACGCGGAAGCCGTTTAACCAACACTATTTTCATTTATCTGAAAAGGACACAAGAAAGGAGTCCATAGATGTTTTTGACATTGTTGGCAATTTATACCAAATTCAATGAAATGAACTTAAATAGCATGCTGATATTGTACAAATGAGAAATAAGAAGCAAAATGTAATTGACAAAACAAAGATAGTGCACATATTTTTGTCCGTTTGCCAAGCTGGATAAGGTTAATATGTACATACATACATGCATTTGTTGCAAAAGTCCATCGCTTTACTGAAAAATTTGTTTGCATAGTTCGGCATATGGGTGGCTTTTGAAATAGGTGGTTTTCAACGAGGCACTTGTAATTAGCTTCAAGTAGTGTCCACTGAACAGCTATGGAAGACATTTTCTTTCCGAACTCATTCTTAGCTAGGGCTGCATTCTCTGTTGGTTCGATTTTCATTCGGGCTTATCTTCACCTGCCTGGTGATCCTATCTACAAAAGTGGAGGTGTGGATCTGGTGGCAATATTTGATCACAAACCACTTAAAACTTGGTTTCTTCAATGCCATCTTCCAAGCTGTTTAACATAACATTAGCCAAGATTTGTTAAAATTAATTTGATTTATTTTTTTTAGGGTGTGTCAATAATTTTCTTCAGGGAAAATCTACTGTTCTTTTTATAATTATAATTTTCCTAAACTAATGGTATGATATACAATACACATAATACATGATACACATGATATACACACAATATGTTATATTTAAATATAAATATTTTTATGGGGATTATGGAATGGGGTAACTGTGGTCACAATACTGTGAAGATACATGATAAATCACTCCTTTGTATGCCTCTTAATTTGGTTTGCTTGATATTTATTTCCACGACAGGGAGTCCTATTTGTAAAAAATATTTACGGTTTTTGCTTCTCGATCAGTGTATGACGGCTAATTATAATGGGGAGATTGAGCGGCGGCTGGGGCTCGATCACTTAAACTTTGAATTCTTCTCTCAAATTGTGTGTATGCGCCAACTTAATATTTTCGCGTCCGAAATACCGGCGGAACTGGAATTTCTTTGTCGATCTGGCGCCACAATCAGTGGTGTTGCAGCCGCCAATGAAGTAATTTGTTGTTATTCAGTTTTTTGACTGGTTTTTCCTAATTAAAAATGCTATATTTGTTTTAATGTTTATTTTTAACCTTGTTTTTCACGTCGTCTTTCTACCAGTCACGATGGAATCGATCATATATATTGAATGCGCCGGCACTGACGATAGTCCGTTCTGATGCCATGTTTCCACTGTAACAATGTTTTTAAGCTTTTCTTTATTCACGTTGTTTTTCTGTCAAGCTCTCGATTCAAACTCTACACTACTACTACACTTAGTATTTTATATGCACAGTTCGCTCCCCTGATCCTTTCAGTTTTAACACTATTTGCGGTGCGTAAATCCGTGCTAGAGTTAAAAAGAATTGTAAGAATAGTAAACAATGCACCCCTTTATTATTCTCGATATCGTAAAATCTTATCGAAACTAAAACCTCGATACTATCGATACTATCGTGCGAGGCTAGCATCCATCACTAGCCAGTCCATTTTTTCATTGTGTCGGTTCAGTTTATTTCGGTTTGTTTTTCGTTTCTTCCGTTCCCATGAAAACCCCTAACTAAAGGATAAAGGACATTAGGCCAAGCTCGCGCATTTATCTTGATTTTTAACCGGCCTGCGCGAATTTTTTTCTTTTTGTTGTCCTTTCTTCAAAGCGGCAGCCTGAATGCGAGTGTGTGAGTGTCAGTGGCTGTGCAATGTGTGTTGTCTCTTTCCGAATGCGTTAGAAACATATTCGGCGTTTGTTGAATAAAAAATCTAGTTGGTGCAATTACAGCAGCCCAAAAAGAGAGAGGTAAGAGTCCGCACTTCTGCTTTCCCTTTTGTGTTGCAACTTCTCTCGGCTGCAGTGTTTGTAATTATTATTATTATTCTTCCTCTTGCTCACTACCTCTTCCGGAGTTCCATGCAGGCGCGAAAGGGAGAGGAATAGAGTTAGAGAGAACCATTGCACGCACACAAACCTCGAAAGCCGCACGAATGTAGTGCAACGAAGGAAGTGGCAATAGCGTAGATAAGGGGGAATGAAGAAGGAGGGAAGATAGCCAAGATGCACTGCAATTAATCGTTTATTATTTGTTTACAAAATCGTCAATTAACCGTAAATGCCAGTACCCCTTTTTCTTCGCCCATCTAGGCGTCTTAAAGAACAGCAAGCATAATTGACCCAATCGTAGGAGCGGTAAACGAATGGAAGGAATAAGTACAAATCAGCTGCAATTCTACACTGTAAGAATCCATGGCCAACATGGGGAATTACAGCGTAAAGTTGTAAGTTGTCACATCAGTTCTTCGGTTCTTGGCTATGTTCATTTTATAAAACATATCTTGGTAAAGTGCTGTCAGTTCAACAATAATGCAGATATTTCCCAGTTTTCTGTCAGTGCTTCTCCTATTTCCCAGATTTCTGTCAGTGCCTCTGGGTGAGTATGAGTGTCGCCCGGGTCTTTATCCGGGGACTGTGATGCATGTGGAATATGAACACGAAAATAGCATATTCAGAATGTTGAGTGAATGCGTAGAACAAACAGTTGTGGGGTGCGCTCCTCGCTCCCCCTCCCGCTGCTGCACGCCAAAAGCAATAAAAATTAAAAGGCAAACAGCGATAAGCGGTCCCAACCCCGCTTTGGATGATGGCCCCATCCCTTCCTGGGTCGCCACCCCTTCCACACCGTGGCACATGGCAACCCTGAGGCAAAACGGGCATAAGGTAAGCCCGGCAAATGCATACGCCAGCCGATAATTAATGCCAGGCCAGCGTAATTGATGCGTCGGTGGCACGAGAGAAAATCAATCGGGGAGCATAACCTGTTTTTCCACGGGCTTCCGTGTTCCATGTTCCGTTCTAAAAACCATTTCCCGGAGGGTGGACCACAACTCCTCGTAACGGGGAAATCTATTTAGCCGAGCTTTTGCTTTTAGCGCCGCCAAATTCTATTTTTGCACAGGGAATTGGGGTCGTCAAACTGAAATTTCAATATCAATCAATTGATTTTATACCGTTGAATATGACGTACGAAACGTGAATAGGATAGGTTCTTGAAATATTCGTACCACATAAATCTAGGATCCTTTTGGTCCATTAGCATTTGACTTTGATTTGGGTTGCCAGGCGTCAGAACCAGCTCGTCCGAAAGGAAATCAGCTCGAAAGTCGCATGTAATTGAAGTGAGTGACATCGGGCTTCGGTTTTCTGTGTAGCGACTTCCACGCTCCTTAGAACCACTCGAAAAGTTTAGCTGAGCACACGCTTTGTTTGGCCTAGGCTTTGTTGTTTTTCTTGTGGCTGGCGTTTCTCAAATTTCGCTTCCTTGGAAGTACCACATCTGCGGTTTCCATTACCTCATATGAATCCATTGTGCCCGTTGCCCTTGTCTATGGAATGGTTTCGTTGATTGAGCCACTCCGAGTGATGAGCACTCAACAACCCCAAGACGAGATCACAAGTACTCGTCGAGAGGCGCAGGTCATGGGGAGATGCCCTAAGAAAGTGCTTCGCCAGCAGCTCAGCGCCCAACACACCAAGTAAGAGCCGCAGAAGTCTGCCCCATACCGTTATTCGGTCAGCGGGATGGAAAAACTATGCCGGGTAAACAAATAAATGTGTGCCCCGATAATAATTTTGCACAGAAAGTCGGTCAACGAACCGAAAACCGAGAAACAGCGGTCGAACAATGGACATCCCAGTGGGCCACCACATAGGTTGTTCATTTTGATTTCGATTTCATAATGAAAAGTCAAAGCGGCTGGCTGGCCATTGACAACCTGCCCTAAATGGACACCGAACTTAACTGGCTTCCGGGAAAATATGGCGAGCAGCGTGGAGCACTGTCCGTCGGGTCCCGCTTCCCATTTCATTCATCTAGTATCGTAACCGGGTCTCGTGGGCGTCAGAGAATGACGCAAACCATTGTTTGTTTTTAATAATATTCCTATTTTCGAGCGTTGTTCTCTTTCGCCAACCTGTTGATAACCCAGCCAAGAACAGTGGTCCACAGCTAATTGCAACTCCGAATAAAAAATTAGCTAGTATTAGTCAAAATGCATGGAGGCTTTTATGGAAGAACTGAAATTTTTTGGAAAGTATTATTTGGATATTTTTACAGCTTTACTTTTTGTAGATTAACCTTGTATTGTGCCCCTTACACTTGACCTCGTGATCGCGATATTGATTTTCACCTACTGATAATGAGACGGGACCAGTGGTCTGTTTCATGCCTGACATTCTATTCAAGTTAAGTGCTCGATCTGACACTAGTTGTGCTTCCTGATCCGTCAGTTTTGCGCATCTGCCTCTCTCGCCTGACAACTGACAAAAATATCTTTCCGATACCAAGATATTTTTACTTACAATTGCGCTCTCTCCCTGCCAAGGATAAAAACGGAATACGTCGGTTTTCGGAGAGGCAATTCAGAAAAGTAACCTATGTCTCAACTCTTTCGATATCTGTGTAAAAGTGGTCACTGACTCAAGAAAATTCGCTAGTTAGACCCCGATCGATAATTACTAGCGACTCCATGGTAACTACAGGAAAAAGCTCAGTATCTAAAGTCTCGGCTCTTTTCAATTCGCGCCATGTCTGCCCCTTGCCGTTGAACAAAAGCGGGTTTAACCCAGTTTTGGAGAACAGTCGACGTCTGCGGAAAATAAGGTTGAAAGGTAAAATAGGTGGATAGTGCTTACAATTACGCACACATAGATACTTGGTCTGTGTATATTAGTTGAGAGCATTTAAGCCAATTACACGGCACATCAATCATTAGCAGACGATTTGAGGCTTAGGGCAACTGCACTGAAAGAATTGCGACGAGCTCTGAGCTGCTTAAGGTTTTATTTAACTTCAGGGAATTACTGTAGATTATTAATCAAAATGTATATATCTTTATGCTACGCTTTTTGAAAAATCTGACGCAATGATTCTGAGGTTCACTTTTAGTAACGATTCCTATTATTCAAATATGTTTTCCTGAGTGTACAAATACACAACGTGCTAGTATTAGTACTGCCTGCTATATAATGGCAGACTTTACCTTATCTTCAACTTTGACAATGGTTATTCTGGGCTTTCGGCGGCCTACGAGTAAGAAAAAGCTGAGCGGCGCAGTGTGAGAGGCAAAGAAAGGCCTCAAAGACAAACTATTAGTCACCAAGCACTTGGCGACTGTCATCGACGTCGATTGCTTGTCTGGGCAGAGCAACTACGTGGAAGTATGCACCATCCAATCCCGCGGGAAATATAGAAGTGCGAGGCAGGAAAGGCGAAGGCCTCGATTGTTAGGCATTGAAGTTGTGTGTTGGCCATAAAATAACAACTAGGAAAATAAACAACTGCAGCGGAAGAGGAGGCGTGAGCGCTTTTCATTACTTTCAACAAGCCGTAAGTTGGCACTCATATGAGCCCCGTTCTCACCCACTCTTGTTTTTCAGTCAATCAGAGATCCATCCACATGAAAAGGAGCCGAGGCAGGCAGCCAAGTTAACTGGAAACAAAACATCAAGCCAGCATACCAAACAAACAAATATAAACACTCTTGCCAATTTATCGAATAAACAAGAAGCCGAGCCAGGAGAGGCAGCCCCAACAAACAAGGAGCTCCTCCTCCGCCATCTGCGCCCTCCAACGTGATACACGAAGTTTTGCACCCCTCGAACCCGACCCGAATCATGGAGTTCATGGAACTCGGTCATGTTTGAGCGCTTCCGACTGAACAACCTGACTAGAACCTTTCGCCTGCGAGGAGGCGGCCCAGAACTGGCGCGCGACAAGAAGAACCCGCAACGGCAGCAATGCGTCACCGTCCTGTTCCTAGATGACATCACGCACACCTTTCGGATCGAGGTAACATCCGCCCTTAAGCTTGAGCACAGTTACAACCCCTAAGCCGTATATTCATGATAATACCGTGTTTTAAAGTTCCACTTGCACAATTTGGTTAACACCTATATAACCGCGACTCCGCGCATAATTATGCGGTATGCGAATCGTAGTCAAAACAAAGAAAGTTTCGAGGTCTTCATAATCATCACTATTCATTTATTCAATTTTATCTGTTCATTTTTGGTGGCTGTGCACTCAGAGCTCACTTTCTTCTCGACTAGCATCTCCAGACACGCACTTGTCCGCATTTTTTTCCTATCTCCAGTCGAGGTTTCACTTTCTTTTACCTCGATGATCGAGTAGTGTGTGTGGTTGCCGCAGATGAAAATGATAGTAGCCTACCAAATTGCAACCAAATGGAAATCGATTAATTACTGTAATTGCGCTAAAGGCAATGCAAACAACTGGAAATTGGTTTTTTATATGGTTTCCATTTGGCTTAAGAAATAAATGAATCTGCATTTGTTCACCTTTTAGAAACGTGCGAAAGGCTCTGAGCTCCTGGATCAAGTCTTTCAATATCTCGAGTTATCCGAAAGGGACTATTTTGGTCTACTATTTCCACAGAAGCCGGGTGACGTCGTGGTAAGTCATGGAGTTCTCCATTGCTAAAAACACATTTGTAATCACTTGCCCGGGTTTTCTTCACAGAGATGGGTTGATGCCCAGAAGCAGTTTAAGAAGCAATGCAGCAGCGTTTCCCTCGACAACGATGCCGTACCATTATTAGAGTTTAGGGTTAAGGTATTACAACAAAGCTCTCGATTCCTTTTGCCAAAAAACCCTAAGGTCTTTTTTGCTTAGTTTTTTGTAAGCGACCCCAGCCGACTGCAGGAGGAGTTCACACGCTACCAGTTCTATCTGCAGATCAAGCGCCACATTCTGCTGGGCAAGCTGCCGTGCTCCAGCAACACCCAGTGCCTGCTTGCCAGCTACACTGTGCAATGTAATTTAATGCTCCATCTGATGTGACAGTACTTAAAACATCCATCTATTTTACAGCCGAGTTGGGAGACTTTAATGCGTCAGAACACCAGCCGGGATATTTGAGCGGGATGCAGCTGCTCTGCGACCAGACAACCGAGGCGGAGCGAAAGGTTGGAGAACTGCACAAGCTGCACCGTGGTCAGCTGCCGGCGGACGCGGAGTACAACTACCTGGAGCACGCTAAGCGATTGGAACTATACGGAATTGACCTGCACAGGGCCACCGACTCCAATGGCAAGGATCTGCAGCTGGGCGTATCGGCCGTCGGACTGCTCGTCTTCCAGCATTCGTTGCGCGTGAACACCTTCTCGTGGAGCAAGATGGTCAAGGTGTCGTTCAAGCGTAAGGACTTCTTCATCCAGTTGCGCCGCGAGCCCAGCGAGAACTACGATACTTTGCTGGGCTTTGGGATGAGCAGCCACAAGCATGCCAAGGCGCTGTGGAAATCCTGCGTGGAGCACCACAGCTTCTTCCGCCTAAAGCGACCGCACCGCCTCTCGCGGTTCCTCAACATCAGCTTAGGTAGCAAGTTTTACTACTCTGGACGCACAGAGCTCCAGGCGGTGCAGGAGTCCAAGAGCCGCGGTCGCATCCACAAGGTATTTGTGCGCTCGCCGAGCAAGCGGCTTTTGGGAGCCGCCGGCGGTGTGGGAACATCGGGCTCCTCGGGCGGTACTCCCATGCAGCAGCACAGCGGTTCGGAGAGTGCCAACTCCCACAACAACGGAAAGCCAGCCGGCGCAGGAACCATTCTGACCATTACCAAGACTAGCCGCCCGCACGATAACAAGGTCACTTCCAAGGAGGCCGACTCCATGCCGCGCAAGGCCTGGGAGCAGCAAAGCGACGAGTATGACATTCAGCTGTAAGTAGAAATAAGTTTGAAAACTGTTCCATGAGTTTCGGTTATAAACGCTACTTGCTTTTTGATTTACAGCGACGTGGGTTTCATTGAACAGTGCACCCGACGCTTCGATTCTGCCTCCCCGTCGCCCATGCCGCCCGCCTACAGCTCCGGCCAGCACAGCCCACTCCTACTGCCAACAACCATCGCGGACGCAGTGGGTCATCAGCAGCCGGAAAGCGGCAGCGACCTCATCACCATTCGTTTGCAGGCCGACGAGCAGGGACGGTATGGTTTCAACGTGAAGGGTGGAGTGGATCTGAGCCTGCCCGTTCAGGTGTCAAAAGTAGTACCCCATACGCCCGCCGATCGTTGCACTCCGCGTGTCTGCGAGGGCGACGAAGTACTGATGATTAATGGCCGGGATGTGCACGGCCTGCGTCACGAGCAGGTGGTGGCCATGATTCGTGATTGTCGTCATCAAGCCAGCGGCGAATTGCTACTGACAGTGCGGCCCCAGCGCTCGGCTCCTCTGCTCCTTGAGGAGGAGCCGTTGTACCAGTACGTCCCGGAGAGCGACGAGATCGGATCACACTCTAATCTGCTAGATGGAGATGCTTTGTTCACCCAGAGCCTGCTGCTGCTCAGCGATGGCTTGGCCTCGGGCGCCCTATTGGCGCAGTACGAGCTCATGTACAGAAAGAATCCGGATCTGGCCATCACTGAAGCTCGGAAGCCGGCGAACGCGCCCAAGAACCGATATCGAGACATATCGCCATGTAAGTAAAATGTCACTAAATTGGGCTATTTTAACATGGAAGTAATATTTCAGATGACTGCACCCGGGTATCTCTGGTCAACTCGCTCACAGGCGACTACATCAACGCCAACTACGTAAACATGGAGATTCCCGGCGGAGCGGTGAACCGATATATCGCCACCCAGGGACCGCTGGCCAGCACCACGACGGACTTTTGGCGCATGGTGCAGCAGGAGAGCAGCCATCTCCTGGTGATGCTAACGACAGTAATGGAGTCGGGTCGCCAGAAATGCCACCAGTATTGGCCGGTGACTGGGGAGGAACTTCAACTAGCGGAGGGATTCTCGGTGCGCTGCCTTAGCGAGAAACCGGACGAGACGGGTAGCTTCGTTTTCCGCGAGTTCGTTCTGAAGGACAAGCACGAGCAGCGTCACATCCACCACATGCAGTACTTGGCCTGGCCAGATCACTGTGTGCCCTCCGATCCTAACCTTTTCCTAGAGTTTACGGAGCGGGTGCGCGCCGCTCGAAATCGCACGCTCCTTCAGGAGATCGAGGAGAGTCTGAAGCAGGTGCGCCTAATGGATGCCGATGCGGATGCCGACGAGAACGGCGGACTGATGCGCGAGCGCAAGTGCGCGGCCAGCAACGGGGCCACTCCGGAGGACGAAACGCCGGTCTCGACAAGCGTGCATCAGTGAGTACAAGGGCTATGAATTCGGATGGGTGATCCATATCATCAATCAAATAATTACACCTTGATAATCTTAAGGTGCATCAGTGCAGCCAATCCACCTGTGATTGTCCACTGCTCGGCGGGAATAGGACGTACTGGAGTGCTCATACTGATGGACACGGCGCTGGCATTGATGGAGGCTCGAGAGCCAGTATATCCGTTGGACATTGTGCGCACCATGCGCGATCAGCGTGCCTGCATGGTTCAGAATGTGGTGAGTGCTGCTGGCTAGGATTTACTTGTGCCTTTCTTATAATCGCGATCTTTAATTGCAGAGCCAGTACCGCTTCGTGTGCGAGTGCATCTGCGCCGCCTACATGAAGATCTCACGCAGCAGTGCAGCCATTAACGACGACGAGGATTAGGGGCAGGACCATCCAGCTACGCAATCTACAATCTTCCGCTTACACGCCCCAAGTTTTTCTTATTCTATGCGAGACTTCGTCTAAATCTATCTAATTTTTAGGTCCCGTAGACATATGATAAAAACTGATTGTATATCATTACTCTTACAAACCCGTATATTGTATTATCAACTCCGTTCATAAGGTACCCCTAAATACACACTTACTTACTTATACATTATCTCTCCAAAGTTACAAAGTGCTGCAAGGAACGATTCTAAATTTACAAAGCCACCACGGAACGGTTAACGAAGTGAACCAACTACCTAATCGAAGTATACAAAGCGAAACAAATGGCAATTTATTTACACCCATCCAACGCTACACGCCACACACAATTGGCGGTCGAGAACAATACGCAAATAGCTACCGAGAACGCGAACCTTATACACTGATAGACATGAGAAGATAAAACTGTTAGTATTTTAGCACCAAATCAATTCATAAATGTATTTATGCTGAACAAAAATCCAATAAAATGTATAATTAAAAAACAAGACAAAATGTTTGTGGCAAAAAGTTTTAGCAAGTCTATAGAAATGTACAAGATATGTATAAAGTGAACAAAATACCACATTTTTGAAAAGTGTGGGCGTTAAAGTTTTGGCCGGTTTGTGGGCGTGACAAAAAGTTTTTGGCAAATTTATAGAAATTTACATGATTTATTAAAAAATGAAAAAATCACATTTTTCAAAAGAATGGGTGTGACAGTTTTGGGTGGCTTGTGGGCGTAGGAGTGGGTGTGGCAACATTTGGAAACTTGCGCTGCGTCTATGTCTCTGGAAGCTGCATGCTTAGTCTCAACATTCTAGCTCTCATAGTTCCTGAGATCGAGGCGTTCAGACGGACATGGCCAGATCGACTGGGCTATTGATCCTGATGAATATATATTCTTTATATTCTCGGACACGATTCCTTCTGCCTGTTACATACTTTTCAACGAATCTAGTATACCCTTTTACTCTACGAGTAACTGGTATAATGAGACTTGTATATCTCTAGTAGGGAGTCTTGTGTGTTGATAATTCATACAGGCCGACTCAGCCAAAGTCTGCGCAAAAAACCGATTTAGCCTAGAGATGATATATTTAAAAACTATAAGATATCGTTTGATGTTTAGTTGTACGAAAAATTTGCATTTTAAGGAAAATAAGTAGGAAAATATATGGAATTACTAATATTAGGTGACTTACGAAATACAACAAATATTGAACGATTCATATTACATTTGTTTGAAGGTTGGGAGAGTTTGGCGCATGCGTCTGGTCCCTTGGTCCATCTCTAGCCTTGCATTGGCTTATAGATTTTAGGTGCGACATGAGTTTACCCGGGTTCCTCGGTGGCTTCCGCATTCCACACCTGCCAGCGGGAGAGACCCCCAGTATACGAGTGGACAAAGCCAGGCACGAATCTGAGCCAGCGCCTGAAACCAGTAACAGGCTGGTGGCGCCTGGTAAACGGACGGACAACCCAGATAATGACTCCATCAGGCCCCACTTGAAGCGGAAGGCTAAGTGCATGGAGGAGCATTCGTTGGAGGCGGAAGGCGAATTGGTCCTGTCTCCCGGACGCGACGAGAGCTATCCAGATGAGCTGAACCGTCTGATTGGACCACTGAACTGTCAGCTGTGCAAGGTGCAGGTGACCTCCAGGAAGTGCGCCCGGGATCACTACGAATCGAAGGCCCACGACCGACACATCAGCGCCTGGCTGGCCAAGAACTACACGGAGGTGGGTCTGCAGGCGCCTTCAGTGAAGCGGCTGGCCATGCAAGGACCCACCGGCCCAAGCGCCTTCCACTGCGACCTGTGCGACCTGAACCTCACCTCCTCGATGCACGCCCGCCAGCACTATTTGGGTCGAAAGCACAAGCGTGCGGAGCAGGGCAGGATGCCTACGTCGGATGGTGTTCGCGGCATAGGGAGTCTGTTCCTCAAGACTGAGCGTTCAACCAAAGATGCGCCAACGGAGGTAATGCTATCGGAGAACAGCCCCATCAAGTCGGAGGATAATGAGCGCACCTGCAACCTGTGCAAAATAGTGGTCACCTCTGCTCCCCAAATGCAGGTGCACTTGGCTGGAGCCAGACACCAAAAGAACTTGAGGACTGGTGGACAGGATCCAAATCAGTCGGGAGATGTGCGTCTTGCGGAGGCGCCGCCCCCTGTAGCGCAAAAATTGGATGCCTCCGAACAGGCCTTGTATCGCACTCCCATTGGTCAGTACTACTGCCAGCCCTGCAACATGATGATGAACCATGTGACCGCCTTGCAGCAGCACCTTATCGGCAAGAAGCACCTGAAGAGGGTAAAGAGCCTTGCCCAAACTGACAAGAGCGTGTAAAGAATTTATTTGATATACCCCAAGCCATGACTTCCAATTGGTAGTGCCATTGATTAACTAGCTTGAGCTAGTAGCTTCCTCAATAATACTGATATGAATATGGAGGCATTATAAAAGACGTACTTTTGTTGTTCAACAATAAAGGTTTTTAATACCCGTTACTGTAGAGTAAACGGGTATACTAGATGTGCCAAAAAGTATGTAATAGGTAGAAGTAGGGAAGCAGGGTATCTGATACTCGAGCAATTTCTAAAAGAATTGGAATATATTGGATTGATATACTTTACCGATGATAAGCTTTCACGAGCCCCATTTAATATGATCTCACATGGATGTTCCAGTATGTTTTATTTGTATAACCATTTTCTGCACGTATTTTTGTTTAATTTATCGCCGATGTGATTTTTTAGTTTAATCTGTAGGTGTCACTCTTTTTAATAAATGTCAGGCTAGACACATGGAATTTACAATAGTTCAAATCAAATTCGAACACGAAGCTCATTACTTAGCTTCTTATTTTGAAAAAGAAAAAATTCAGTAATTTCACACCATGGCCGAGGAGATGGAGGTTGAGGAGACGGAGGACTTCCACGACATGGACTTCAATGACGAAGAGCCCTCCTGCAGTGGAGGAGCTGGTCAAGCCAGGACGGAGCGCTTTGTGGTGAAGAAGTGGGTGGCGCACGCCATGTGGGGATGGGACGTAGCAGTGGACAACTGTGCCATCTGCCGTAACCACATTATGAACCTGTGCATCGAGTGCCAGGCGGACCCGAATGCCAACCAAGACGAGTGCACTGTGGCTTGGGGCGAGTGCAACCACGCTTTCCATTACCACTGCATCGCGCGCTGGTTGAAGACGCGCCTCGTCTGCCCGCTGGACAACAAGGAGTGGGTCTACCAGAAGTACGGCCACTAGTGAGGGATTTGGTTGGATATGGAGCGGGGCAGGGGGTGGTGACATATGTTTGCTGGCATGTATTAAATGTAATTAAATTAGAGTTGACTTGGGCTCCCACTAAAGGGATTACGCTTCCTGGTCGGGCAGAAGTTGCTGGGCCGTGGGCCTAACGCCAGTTATTTGTTCGATTTGTGAGTAGAGCGAATCGCGCTCTTCTACTAAACTAGCGTACTTCTGTTGCAGCTCCTTCTCGCGGTCCATCTGGCGACGCACGTCTTCTTGCAGCGATTCCAGGCGCCGCGGCACAGCGATGGCCTCCTGTTCGCCCAAAAAGCGGAATGTGGAGAGTGAGACCGAGTTCTGCTCTATCTGGCCGTACGTGTCCTGAAGCTGCTTAATCAGCACCTGGGCGCGCGCCTGGTAGCCGCCGGTGAGAATCTTCAGCTTCTTCTCGATCTTGCCGCAGCGCTTCGCTTCCTTGGCCATGTGGCGGCGGTTTGTCTCGAGCCGTTTCTCGGCAGACTCTAATCGATCCTTCTTGCTGGCCAGATTGGCGCGGGTGTAGCGATGTTGGGAGGGCAGGTAAAGTACCTGGCCGAGGCACTCTTGCCACACCTGGGCATACACGTCCAGGGGCAGTTCGCCATGGGCCATGCGCTCCTTCACCACCTCCATTTCCTCGGTGAGCATTTGCCTGGCCTTGGCCAGCTCTTGCTGCGAGATGTCCTCGTAGGGATTGGCCTTAAAGTAGCTTTGTAGCTGTTCCAACTTGTGCTGCGACTGACCCGGCACCGGATCCTTGACCGAGTCGTACACTAGAAAGTCGTACAAGGTAGAAGAACGTTAATTACTGGAGTTAAAATGGAAACTTTGGGTTCACTCACACTGCATGGTGATCATTTCGTGTTTAATCAGCTCTTCGGCCTGCTGCTGTTCCGTAAGGTTTTGTTTCTCGGACTGCGGTCGCAGAATCTTGGTGTTCACCTCAGTGGGTCGCGGGAGACTACGCTGAATAACCTGGGAGCGCTTCTCTAGTTCCCGCTTTCGACGCGCCTCTTGTTCCGCCAATAACCTGGCGTCGACGTCCGCCTGATCCTCAACGGCGGGCTCTGAGCTGGTCTCGACGCGTTCGCTTTCCTCCTGCTCGGGTACCACGATCTCGTAGTCATTCCGGGGAGCCGGCAGCGTGGATAGACCGTCACGCAGCGTGGACTTTAGTTGCTTCTGGTAGTTTTTGTAATGGGCTGGGGTCTCGGTGACGCCCATGCTCTCCTCAGGATTGATGCTTAGCTTGTCCCTCACGTAGGCAGGTGTGTTGACGACACCCGTAGCTCCTCCAGCCCCCTTTACGGGAACTAGGGCGCCGGAAGAGGGCGTTAGGAATCCTCCGGGAGTGGCTGCTCCGCCGTCGCGCTGGGTTCTAAACGGCGTTGCAATCACTGTGTTGGGCGTGGCGATGGAGGCTGCCTTGGGCAGCACGCCAGAGAAGTCGGACTCGTGCAGCGGAGTGTTAAGGCCGCCTTTGAGCGGCGTCTCTGTGTGGGTGAGGGCCATCATGTTCTGGGCCTCCTGCATGATGCGATCGGTGTATGGAGCCGGAGTACGTGGAGTGGCTGCAATCTGGGGTGTGATGGAGTAGTCGGCTAGCAAAGCGTCCGTCGTCTCTATGCCGCTTTCACCGGCAATTTCCTTCGCCATCTCACTGGCGCGTCCTAGCTTGACCACCTGCTGTAGCTCCATGTCGGAAATCTGCGGCGTGGGCAACACTAGTTTGGAGCGCTTCCGCTCGGGCTCCATGTTTTGCAGCATGGCGGTGGGCAATTCGTTCTCCTTGCGCTGCTTTAGCTTCTGCTTGTCCCGCTTGCGTTCGCGTTCCTCCTTCTCTGAGCGGAGTTCTCCATCTAGGTCCTGCTGCCGCATCTTGTTGAAGTCGGGTTCATTTTTCTGCAAATGCTCCTCGGAAGTGTCGTAGAATCCGAGGGCAGGACGCTTTTCGAAGGGTATCTCGGCGTTGTAGTCTATTCCCTTAATCCGCTTGCGATTTCCGCTGCCAATGCCAGCGGCACGGAGTTCTCGCCGCTTCTGGAGAGTGGCCAGGCGGCGGGCTTCCTCCAGTTGCTTCTCGCGAGCCTTGCGCTTGGCCTTCTTGCCCTGCGTGTTGGCCAAGCGGGCGCGTGCCTCGGACAGCATTTCCAGCTCGTCCTCGTCCATGTCCTTGGGATCGGGTCGCGCCGGTTTGGTCTCCGGATTGGGGTCGATCTCTCCGGGCTTCAGCTTGCGTGGATCGTCCATCGTGTCCTCGCCATCCTCTTTGCGTTGGGCTTGGTCTCTGTGCGGCAGAAAAGAGATTACGGATTTCTACTTCGTATTTTGTGCTTTGGACTTACAGCAAGTATTCGTAGCGCTCCAGGCACTGGGCCGCCGTCCGCCCTATGATCGGGGCTATGGTGCGCCACTGCGTCGGCATCAGCTTGGCCAAGTGGAGCAGCTTCTCGTCCTCCTCGCGGGACCACTCGGTCTTCTTGATGCTGGGATCCAGCCACTCGTACCACCTGGCCTTACACTGCTTGGCGGACTTCCTGTGCAGCAAGGAGGCAATACGACTCCACTGGTTCTTGCCATATTTCATAACCGCAGCTTTGAGGATTTCATCCTGGGAGAATGAAACCGGTAGCCCATTTAAGCCATGTGATTAACCGATATACTGTTGTGATAATTACCTCCGTGTTGCGCCACACGCCGCCCTTGATCATTATTCGCGGCATTTTGGGGCTTTACGTTGCTTTTTCCCGCGGATACAATGGATTTTCACAATTTTCACTCGAGTCCACGAAACTCCGCTCTTTTTCTGGCAGTAGCCGCTAGCGATGGTTAGTCCTCGATAACTTCGATATCTCCAGCACGTTTTGGTATATTTCTCGAAAACCACGGTAGTTTACTCTAGTTAAACGCTCGTTAAACTCAAAATAAACTGTGATAGCTTAGTTTAAAAAAGAAATACATTTTTAGTAGGGTTTGTACACCGTCTGATTGATTTTTGGTTTTTTTAAGTTCGCAATTTAAGTTGGTGGACTTAATAAAGGCCTCTTACACACGACAAAACATACTGCGACAGTGTGGCCGAATATGGTTGTGGAAACAGTGCTGCCACACTTTGCACAGCAACAGCTGTTCGCTATCAGTTTTTTTGTGACCAAAAGTTTTTATCTGCGTAATGTAAATTGTGATGCGGAATTAAAAGGCTTGTGTCCAGAAAGCGGAAGACCGGCAACCGGAATCCGGCACCTGGCATCAACTGGACCAAGGGACCAGCACCCATGATGAACGATGCGACCTTTCCGGGATATTATGGTGGCAACCAGGTGAGCATCCAGCGAGTACCTCTGGCCAGAAAAACACGCCGTGTGTCTTCCAGCTGCATTTGCTCCCGCTGTCGCATCCGCATCCTTCACATCCGCACCAGGACCTGTCGCTTTCCACGCCGGTTCACTCCTTGGAGCAGGACTCCAACTTTGGGGGATTCTTCGACGACGAGCTGGTCATCGGATCGGGATCCGGAATCACCTCCGCGTCTGCTGCAAATGCCACCGCTTCCAGTACTAGTTTATGGCTGCCCGATGGCGGGAACCGATCGCCTCCAGAGGTGGCGGTGGAATCCCAGCCCAATCAGGGCATTCCGTTTGTCCAGATCCACACCACCGACTTGCAGCAACCGGAGAAGAGCTACCGCAATGCCTTCCGCAGGCGCACAGCGGAAATCAAGTCGGAGGAACTGATCAAGTCGGAACTTGCGGAAGCGGCGGCCAAGGATCGTCTGAATGCCACGCCAACGCCTCCAACTCGGAATTCCAGCTGCGCCAGTGTGGAGGGCAAGGCAATGGTGCAGGAAGGCCCGCCCCTTATCCTGCGCTGTCCCAATTGTCCATTCCTAAGCCTCTGCCAGGTGCGCCTTCAACAACATCTTAACCAGGGCAACTGCTATATGGAGCAGCACAGGAAACAGTGTCCAGGTGAGGCATAGTGCGCCTTCAAAAAGAGTGCTCTGCTAGGATGCTTTATCCCATTCGCATTCACTTTTCACGTGTTCCTTGACAGGCTGCTCAAACATATTCTACACCAGCGATGCGCTCAGCTTGCACCTCAGCTTGGACCATCAAATGGAGGACAATGAGACACTCACTCTGGTGAGCGGAAATGTCACGGAAGCACAGACCAAAAAGCAGACACAGATGTCGCAGAGCCAAACCCGACCCAAGAGTCGCATCTTTATAAAGAGCGTGGACTGCTTGAGGGAGCCACTCCCGGATTTCTCGCCCCTAATGCCGGATAGCGGGTCCACCGCTAACATTCTTGATCTGCTGGAAGGTGTGGCTGTCGGTGCATCGCCGGCCGAACAGACTATGCCACCAGCACCTGCTGCGAATTTACCCGCTCCTCCGCCAAAGCCCAGCCAGAAGATCTCCATCAAGAGCGTGGACGTGCTCAGAGAGCCCGCCTTGCTGCCCTTCGACTTCCAGCTGCAGAATCATTCGCTCATTACGGACAACAGTCTCCTTGAAGTTCCTGATGTGGGCGGGGAGCCGGAGAAGCCGCGTCAGCCGAAGATTTATATCCGCAATGTAGACATCCTCAAGGAACCGATGGTTCTGCCATCTGCTCTGCCCGGCCTGGGATTCAATAGCAGCATGCCGTCGGCAGCAGATCCCGGGCAAAGTGTACTAGCTGTAGGAGGAGCAGATGGTGATGTCTTCCAGGCGGAGACACTGCTCACGCCCACGTGTCAGCTTCCAGGATTCGAGCCCAGCCTCGCCCCGCTGGCACAGATGTGTACCGAGGCATTTCCGTTCGATTCTGTGCTGAATGGCAATGGAGCGCCTGCCTCTAATTTGGAAAACACACGTTTCAGTGCCTTGGACCTAGATTTTGGCGTGGATTTCGTTTCGGAAGAGGCAACTCCGCCGCCACCGCTCAATGATCCACTGACAATAATGGAACCACAGCCTGTCCAGCTGGAGCACTACTTGCCGCCTACGGCTCCCATCACCAACAAGCAAAAGATCTTCATCAAAAACGTGGACATTTTGAAGGCACCGCAGAGGGGCACCTTGCACCTGCGCACTGTGGACGAACTGAACCTGATGAATCGCACCGATGTGGAGCACTTAATCGTGCCCAATCTGGAGCCGATGGCAATGACCATGATGGAGCTTCCGCCCGTGCAGCAGCAGCCTATGGATGTGAATTCACAGCTCAAGGGGCCATCGCAAGCGCTGGGCGAATTCCAGCCCTCTATTAGCGGGAGTTGGCCCAGCGAGGATGGCTATGACCTAGCTGAGGATCTGGAGTGCTGGCCCTGGATGGAAGATGCTGTACCAGAAGCTGGACTCGGTCTGCCTACACCCAGTGAAGTGGCTGATGCTCCCCCACTCGATGGCTTGGCTCACGCTGCAGAGGATCTGCTGGTCAAGGATTTTGCGCAGTTGTACGCCACACCGCCGGAGGACACACACAGCGCAGAAGAAGCAACTGCAGCCGGAGGACGAGGGACAGTGCCACCTCTAGTACCGGTAACATCTTCGGGAGGGACAACCTCTGTAGCTCAAAGTGCACCCTTGGGTAGTTTGCCGGTTCCGCCGCTGGTTCCCTTGGCAGGCGAGATGGCTCCTGCATCCGAAAAGCCTGCCCGCATCTATGTGGCCAATAATCTCCTTCCCACCGCCGTGGATCCACCGCTGCTTGGAGGCGGCACCTCGGTCAGGGGCCGTCCCTACGGCGCCAAGCACTCTGGCGGAGCAGCTGCCAAAAGGAAGCCTTCTCAGGGGCCCAATCAAGTGCCAGAGGGAGGCAAGTGCGTGGTGGAGGGGTGTATGTTCCGCTTTAAGTCGCCCGCAACTTTGGAGTATCACGGCAGATGCCACAATGGATCCCTCAGCTCTAACCAACCAATGGTGTGCCCGGAATGCAAGTCCAGCAACTTTAGCAATTGGAACTGCCTGCATACGCACCTCTGGCGCACCCACCAGATCGACATGGAGCTTTACTCCTGCCAGCTGTGCAGCTTTAAGACGCCCATCTACTCGCGTCTCGTGAACACCCACGCTAAGATCCACTCGGAGGAGCGAAACTATAAGTGCGAGCAGTGTGGCAAGGGATTCAAGAACACCAAGCAACTGAAGAACCACCGTCGTTTGCATCGCACGCAAGGATTGGGCATGGGAAAGCAGTCGAATGAGCAGATTTTCGCGGGACCAGAAGCCAATCCCGTCGTAATGCATCGCTGCGAGGATTGCGGCGCCGCCTTCAAGCAGAAGAAAACCCTGAGGGAGCACCTATGTAAGGAGCGAAACGAACAGCTGGAGTGCCCCGAGTGCCAGCGCCGTTTTGGTTCCAAGAGCAGTCTGAGACTTCATCTTCGAAGCCATCAGGACCCGAAGCGCTTCCGCTGCGACACCTGTGATCATGAGACCAGCGATCACAACGCTTTTCGGCGCCACCTGGCCACGCACAAGGAGAGGAAACGCTACTCCTGCCCGCACTGCGACTTCCGCGCCATCCAGAGCACCGCCTTTCGGGTTCGGTAGATTTCTATTGCTAAGTGCTGCAGTTTCTAATAGTTCTGTGCTCTCCTTGAACAGATACACCTTCAGAAGCGCCATCCTGAACAGGAGCTGTCCACCATCATATACAAGTGCGACCAGTGCAACTTCACCAGCATCAATCAGGGCCTGCTGCAGGTTCACCAGGCCAAGCATGAAGTCGGAAATCCCAATCAAGCCGTAGCTTCATCCCAGGGTGATGTCCCAGTGGCTAAACAATCACAGATCAAGGTGGAGAGCAACTTGGTGCTCGCTCATTCCAGTACAAAAGTGGCTGCGGAGGTGACCAAGTGTCAGGAGAATGTCCTGCAGGCTTCCTAGGGACGAGTTCTGTACATATTTTAGAAGATAGGTTGCGCAAGAACAAAGTGCCGCTTAGTTTTTACCGAGTTTTATACCAAAATTGTACCAATGTTATTAGTGTTAAGGACGCGGGAAGTCACTTCAAAAAGCAGAACTCCGATGCAGATGCTTGCTTCCTGTGGAAGGATGATTGAAGTGCAATCCTGGACTTCGGAATTCTTCGAAGAATATCTTTTGACTTTTTCGTTTTTCTTTTCCTGTACATGTTCCCCTAGAATTTTAAGAGCCCGTTGCTGTACATAAGTATGTATATAAAGGTATATTGGTAAAGGCTTTATTAATTGAACCCCAGTTTCATTCCCTTAGTGTACATAGCAAGCTCGGAACAGAAATACATTTACAAATCTCAAACCCATATTTTCTAAGCCACAGCATACAGTTTATGATTGCAATTCGGTTAGATGAGTTTGTGAGTTTCAAAGGTTAAAGGGTTCTTTGCAAAACAGTGATAGTAACTTTATATCATAGCTATTTAGCTTTACATATAGATAAATGTTGTAATCGGTCTGCCAACTTAGGATACCATTAACGGCAGCTCGTGGTGGAAGATGCTTGTTATTACCCCGTCGGTCATCAAATCGTAAACGACGTTCCAGTGGAGCATCTGCTCCAGGGCCAAGCCAAAAATGGCACAGTAGAAGACCAGGGCGTAGACCAAGCCCCTTTGGCGTCCCCCGCCCGCCTCATTGAAGATCTCCTTGAGCTGCAGCACCGCGTTTGTCAGAAACTGAATGCAGCACACCAGCATCCAGGGAACCATTGCCACGAAAATCTTCCTCGAATTCTGCTTTCGCCAGCGCGCCGATGTCACCAGGTAGGGCATCAATGCCATGGTGGTCAGCACGAGTGACACGGTCGCGTAGATCAAAGCTCTCGAATAGTGGACTTTGGCGGCGTGCTGCTCACTTTCCACCACGGCCACGTCCAGCTCCAGCGTGGCCAAAGGAGCCGCCATGATTGCAGTCAGAAGCGCCGTTCCGTAGAGCACCTGCACCACGATTTCGATAATCATCTTGATTCGATATTGGATTGAGGATGGGTTAAAATTCAAGGTCCGATGGAAGAGGACGAATTTTGGTAGGTGGCCGTGCCGTTGGGCAGTTGTTTTGAAGTTTTTTCTTTGGCCTACCTTGGTATTTGGTAATGTTACGTTTTCATTTGAGTGCTGATTAAAAGACATCGAAACTGCCATATTCAATATTTTAAGCCTTTAATGGGAGAAACTTTCTTTGCGTTTATACAAAATTTAATTACACTTTTTTGCTTTTCTTGCCTGGGCATTTTTTGTTTGTTGTATTTTAACTAGATTTAATTAGATGGTTGCGTTAAATATACAATAGGGAGGAAACGGAAATAGACAAACGTTAGCTGAACTCTTAGAGGTAATAATCGAGTCGACTTGCCGGGAATCGAATCGAAATCAATATCCTAGAGCGAGTGTCGTTTAAAGGTAATCCTAACTCTAAAGGAGGAAGCATTTGATATGTTGTAAAAATGTTTAAATATATATTAATGTGTACATATCATATTGAGCTTATCGTATATATGCGTGTTTATGTGTTGGTAAAATTACGATTGATTTAAATAATTAATAACAATTGGTTGGGCGGGGTTTAGTTTAAGCCGTGTTTCCGTTTTGATTCGCTCTCTATTTAGCGCGTTTTTGTTCGGTTTCCTGTTCCTTGGCACTCTATGCAAGTCTTACTTTATCATTAACTTTAATTATGATTAGCCTTACGATTTGTTAGTTTTCGTTTGAATTCATTGCGTCTTGAGTATTTTTCCTATAATTTCATTGGGTCTCAGAGTGTGTTTCATAATTTACATACTTAAGAATTATTTAACAACATTGAATGTTTGCTTTAACGCTTTAGATTGGCCTAAGTCTAGTCTAACTTTTACGGATTGCTGACAGGGAATGCCCATTTAGGATCTGGAGAAGAAAACTAGGTTTCGCTTAGTGCCTTTAAGAAAACCGATCTTGTGATTAACCATCAGGTTCTCAAACTATGATTCCATAAACATCTTCCAGTGGTTGCAAAACATCCTTCAGTCCCCCAAGACATGGTCCCTCTATCCCGGATTACCCTTTCTGGCGCTGAAAAACATCCTGGCCACCTTGCCCAGCGCACCCACAAAGTCCCATCGTTCGCCCGCCTGGTTTGCACTGGATCCCGCGGAACCGTCTTGATGATGGTGGTGCTGCTGGTGGTGCTGGTGGGGGTGGTGATACTGGTCCTGGCAGGATGGTGGGACCTGGCCCTGGTCGTCTATCACCTAGGAGGGCGTGGAGTACCAGCCGCTGGCCGGGCTGCCCTTGTGGTAAAGGTGGAAGCTCGAGTGCGGAGCGAAGTACTGCGGCTGGTCGAGATTACTGTAGGTAACTCCACCCTCGGTGGTTGTGCTGCCCGAGGGATGCATTGTGGCTGTATAGGAAGCCTGGGGCTTCAGGGGCAGCGCGGCGGGCACGCCGTCTCCGGAGGAAGTGGCGTACTGACCTCGGAGTGGATCGGGAGCATAGTCGTAGCCTCCGTTGGAGGCCAGGACAGGAGCCGCCTTACCCGGCTGATTCGAGTCCCTGGGGGACACTGAACTGGGCGGGGTCATGGCGTTGTGATAGTCAATGGAGCTGTGGTAGCCCCCGTAGGTGGACACCAGATTGGTGAAGGCATCAGCGGATGTCTTCTGGCCCACCGGATGTCCACCGGAGGCGGCGGAGTGCAGCTGCAGGTATTGGTTCTCGTAGGACGACTCACTGCCCGGCGGCGTGGGCAGCGGACCTGTTTGCTGGTCGCCGTAGAAAACTCCGGGTCCCACTCCAGTTGGTGTTTGCCTGGCCGTCGCCCGGATCACGCTCTCCCGGTTGGCGTACAACTGCCGGAGAAGGGCGGTGGCTGGCATGGGCGCCGGTGGCTGTTGGTAGGGTGTGCCTATCCATTGGATGGTGCTGCTTTTCTCGTTGGGATCCAGCTGCTGTTGCTGTTGCTGCTGCTGCTGCTGCTTAAGCAGAGAGTCGGCACTGAAGTCCGTATTGGGCGGGGCCACCGATACCACCGCCGCTGGCGAGGGCAGATGCTTGGACATGGCCTGCTCCAGGTCCTTGACCGCGGAATCCGCCGCCGACGAGGGCTGCTCATCCACAATCGAGGGCAAGCGGCTGCGTGGCTGCTGATCGCGCTGCTCCATGCTCGGTAGTTTGGGCAGAGGCTGCTCGGGGATTACCTGCTCTTGGCCCTGGTCCTCCGCGTGCTGCGACGCCTTGGTTTTCCGCTTTCGCTTGGTGGATTGCACTGGCGGAGTGGCTGCTGGCACTGGAGTGGCCACTGTGGTGGGCAGCACTCCCGAGTCGATCTCCACGCCCAGCGGAGTGGGGCTATCCTTGATCATGGTGAGGCTGTTCAGGGAACTTCCGTGCGTGGCGGCTGCACTGCGACCCCTGCCGCGGTGGGAATGGCCCTCGGAATCGGTTTTCGGCGAGTTGAGCTTCATGTCTCCGGCACTCAGGTGCGAGTTGCCCTCGCCACTGGCGTCTCCTCCTGGCGACCCGCTGCTCTTGTCGTTGCCCAGTCCCTCCTCGTGCTTTATGCTATCCGGACTGGGCTCCAGTTGGCAGCAGTCCAGGATCATGTTCTCGTTCTCTCGGTTGCTGTGGGTGAAGTGCATTTTAGTTAGTCGTTTATACTTTCGGAATTTCATTGTCCTACAACCCACCTGATCACATAGTTCACGCAGATGATGTTCTGCTCATCCGCGTTCTTTGTGCTGCAGACGACGGTGGCGCAGGTCTGGAGCCAGGTGTAGCCTCCGCTCTTGTTCATCAGTCGGTAGTAACCGGTCAGCACCTGACCCTTCTCGATCACTGAAGGAAGAATGTTAAGGATTGTCATGTAGCAATATATATACTTGTAATACGGATCTAAGTATGTTTAGCATACGTATGTTTTTTGTTTAATAAAAACTTATTTTAGTTTACACTTTTACTTATTTATTTCTTATCATCACTTGCAGGTATGTGATGACTTGGGCACTTACGGTCTGAGTGGCTCTTGCGCAGGCGATTGGCATCCTCGGCGTGGCACAGTGAGTACAAGCTCTTGTTGACCAGGTCCTCCGGGGAGTAGTCCAGCAGATCGGATACCCTGGGTTGGAAAATGGTGCCATTAGCTTTGAACCGACAAATGGGGTGGTGCAGGGCAGTTTACCTTGGTTCGCAGTGCGCTACTCGCAGGTCAAAGTTCACCCGGGTGACGAACATGTCGCACTCCAGCCGGATCTCGTGCACCGACGGTGGAGGCAGTGCGATGGCCAGGGCCACCATTCCGAGGAGTGGAGGCTGCGACTTGCGACTGTGGGAGAATGTGTACTGGGGACGCAGCTTGCACAGCAGCAGGACCACCTGCAAAGGTTCCAAGTGAAGCCAGAACCTGGTTAGTTGGGATGCTGACTTCGGAGCAGATGCTCCACTCAAAAACTGCTTAAGAACTGTGTACTGATGATGTTGGAAGGAAACTATAAACTGGACTCCAGTGATTATAAGCTTTCAAGGGATTCCTAAACATAAAATATTATATATTTATAAAGGTGGTTTTTGTCTGGAATGACAAAATGAGCCTACTTTAAAAGTATGTTTTGGAAACCTTCTGTTCGAATGCCTGAATCTTAGCATAAACTTATTGTTAATGATATATTATTCCGTGTGATATCGTGAAATTCACGATGAATAGAACTGAAGAATGGTGTACAGCATGTGGTGATTTCTCCGATGGATGGTGAATCGATCGATTGATTCGTTAATTGGTGGATGATTGAAGCAGCTCCGCACTAGTTATTCGATACTGATCAATCTAAAATCAGTCAGTGGCTTTGCCTTTGTTTTTTTTTTTTCTCTTTAGCAAACACAAAAATTATGGCCGAAATAGTAGGAAAAAATTAAAAATCGAATTTCTCAGTAAGGAATTTTGAGTAGGTTTTTGATTTTGCCTTGCATTTTAGCATACAAACGTACTGATTTCAATTGATACGTACCGAATAGTTTGAGCCCGGATTCTTAACGTTTTTAGCATTGTTACTAGCATTGTTACCGTTGTTGCAATTGCTCGTTGCATCGCTGGCCTGTAGATAAGCAGTGGATGGGATGGTAATACGTAATACAAAATGCGGTATTGCAGGTTACACAACACAACCGAAAACTTTCTGTGGGTTAGTCTTACTGTTACTCGCAAGTCTTACATTAGAAATAACTCCTAGGGCCAACCAAAAAATTAATTAGAACCAAAAAACAAAACACATAATTCATAATTCATAAGTCAAAATCCCAAAACTATTCGGTTAGAAATGCGACTACAAGAGGGAACACAAATAAAAGAGCAATACACAACTTAAGGCAAAACAAAGGAAGGATAGTTTCTCGCAAGGATAGCAGCAGAACCAAGAGTGGAAACTCACCCGATAGCCTGAGGATTTGAAGTGACAGCCGCGCTTAGTCAGCGTGGACTTCATCCGCACACAGAAGCTCCGATCGTATCCCTTGTAGCCGCTGGTCGAAGCTTGAGTCATGGAGGCGGCAACTATGGGAGAGAAAAGGTTTTGGGATTAAATTGGGTATTCATTTGTGCCGATTTGCTCATCAGCAGGCCCTATCATTTTTTAGTATGCCATTGCAATCGTCACATCCATGCGGATCCCACCCCGCACCAGGGATTCATTCCCCCACCTGGTCCTTCGACAACTCGGACTTGACTCACCGTCGGGATTGTTCGTACCGTGTGTGCCGCTTCCATCGTCGGAGGCTCCGGAAGTGGGTGAGGCCATGCCACCGCCCGCTCCGCCGCCTCCACCGCCGCTGCTCGAGCTTCCGCCGCCTCCGCCGCCGCCGCTGGTGAGGCTCAGGCCCAGCTGCTCGGCGATCTCCGAGTGATCCGCCTGGTGGATGTAGTCGAAGATGCTGCTGCCCGTCATCTCCACCTGCGACAGGCCCAGATAGATGGACACCGTCTCCGAAATATACAGGAAGCGTCCGTCTGCTGCCACGGCCAAGGCGAAACCATCCAGCGACTGAAGTTGGAATGGAAATATTTTACTTAGTTATAGGAGATTACATTGGACCAAAAGAAAAACAAAATTTGGCATTTATGTTCCCCCATAACATGGCCCTAAGTCGATGGGCCATGTTTTTCTTGGTGTAAATTTAATCACATGCACAAGATGGCTGCGGGCTATCGCGCTCCCCCTCTTCCGCCATACTGCCGTCTCTTTCGCCACCATATCTCACCTGTAGTATGTGGGTGCCCTGATGTTGCTCGAACAAATCAACGGCGGGGCTGCGACGAATGGCGGCACCTGCGGAGCAAAATAGGGGAAAGTGGAGTGTCAGTGGCTGGAAAGTATGCAAATGCGTAGGATCCAATATTGATTATAGAAATACGTTGCTCGTTCGTGAGCACTTAAACAGATCATTTGGAAAAATCATAATAAATAATCATAAATAGTAGTATAACGCCAAGGGGGCTCGCATGTGTTTCGGGACCCCTGAGTTATTGTCCTGGCCATCGAGCCAACTCGTAAAGGATGCACCCCTGCCCCCCAGAATAGACAAGAACAACAACCGCAGGGCACCATAAATATGGGTGGCCATTCAATATTTTGCCAGCTGAGGCCCTGCAAAGCTTATTTATTTAATTCAATTATAGAATTTTACGATTATGGACGACCGACCGACCGACCGACCGGTCAAGTCATAATTCGCACAAGTGCAAATCGCCCTTTATTCCTGCCCCTCAAGTCCCCAGCGATTTCGAGTACTGGACGCGCTAAGTTGGCAAACAGTTTCCGCTTCCGCTCGGACATGGCCATATGTGGCTGAAGGCATGCCTTAATGACCTTCGAGCACCACCCACCCGAGCACCAATTTTTTGCGGCTGTGGGTCAAATTGAAGTGCTTTTTATTGCCCCGCAGCTTGTTGCTCCTCATACTCCCAGCACATAGTATACAGCTCCTTCCCCGGTTTTTCTACTGCTTTCTGGGTTTAGTTTCGCATAATAATCCAATTGAATGGCTGAAGGCGTTACGGCCACTCCACAGCCTTCCATACATAACGCCCCATTGATTTTGGATTATTTTTTAGTGCCTTGACTACCTTTTTGGCTTCTTGATGGCCCTCGCCTTTTGGCTCTGCTTCTGCCACTCTGCCACTTGCCAGTTGTCTTGGCACACAGAAAAAATACAATTCAACCATATGATATGATGGTTTAATCATAGGGATTGGCCTGCTATGCTATAAGCAAAACAGATTGTGGTTTATTATCAAGTTATAGCAATTTGAAATGGCCATATTTGCATGATTTTAGCACACAACTCTAATTTATAACTTTGGCTGAGACATTTCTTCATCACTATGCAAAAGCCCACACTTTTTCTGCGAGTGCACTCAACCGTTGCCAGTTGGCAGCTCTTGAATACTGTCTGAACTGAGACCTGGCAAAGAAGTCGTGGGCTGTCGTTGTCGTCGTGGAATGCTTTTTCACTTGACGTGACAATGCATTGTCAACGTCGCCGGAGCATGACGTGGCTGAGGAATGGCTTGGTGGATAGATATGGATGGATATAGCAAGGTAGATATGGTGGCTTGGAACTGCCGACAATAACGTTGCTGCCCCTCGAGTGTTGGTAAACTGCTTTCAATGCTAAGCTTTAATGCGGGGCTCAGTGTCGACTGACTCGAAATGTGTTTAGTAAGTAAAGATAAGTTGCACACTAGGATGTTGCAAACATGTATGTAAAGATCTTCCGCAGAAGCTTGAAATTGATTTACAATTTTCACGGTATTAGCAAGGCTCGGCCACTTTCAGTGTCTGTTTGTGACCAATCGCAGGGAAATTTCCGCTGCCCATTTGCATTTGACGCAAGACATCCGCCATATTGTCGGCCATTTGCGATCGTTGTTGGCCAGAAAGAGATGGTGGAAGCGGCAATTAAAACCGAAAGCAGGAAACTCATTTGCCTACATTTCGTGAGGAGCGGTTTGCATTGTTTGCCTTAAGTGAAACCAAAACTGTTCGTTTTTTGCCGGGTTGTCTATGACTGAAATTATGCTCGTAGGCACCTTAAAAATTCGCTTGGCTCGAAATGAAGCAAAATGTTTTCGCTGACTTTGTCAACTGTGTTTTAGATTTCGTTTTGGGCTTTTGCCGGATTTGCATAAAATATCGTTATTAGGCGCAATTTATTTTTATTTGCTGCGCATGCGCGACCATTTCGGTCTCCAGTGGGCAAAGGCAAGGGGTAAGCGGCGTGTGTCATTGTGACAGCTTGTGGAATTTCAGAAGGCCCCATTAAAGTGATTGATTGGCTTCCAATGGAAATCGCTGTTCTTGAAATTATGTTGACTCATTGGCTGAGCTATGTCCACCAGGAACAGTCTCGGGTCTTGAAGAGGTTTTACATGGATCTAATATTGTGGTTTACTTACTTTTAAGCTTACTGCTGCTGGAGGCTTCCCGAGTCCATGGCGGATCGCCGTGTCCGGAGAAGTCCCTCAGCTTCAGGTAGCTGATGGTCAGTCTTATGATGGAGGCCTTGTCCAGCTGACTGGTGATGGCTGCCGGCAGAGGGAGCATCTTGGCCAGCTCGTAGAACTCGTAGTTCTCCTTTCCGCGCCGCGATCTCGCCGCGTCCCTCGACTTCTCCTTGCGCAGCTCCAGAATGCTGCAAAGTCAACAGAAAGGTGCATCCGTGAGATACTTGTCCAATAGTAAGGGAAAACGCAAATCAATCAGTATACATAAGTAGACACTGACGAACGACTAGAAGATCGGTCCACAAGACGGCTCTGCACACCTTTCGCACCTGTCAGCACCGCGTTTTGGGCCATTTGTTGGGCCAACCCATGGCTTTGTGATGGAATGGTGTCAGGCCAAACTAATTGCCCGACATTTGTCAGTCTTTCAGCGGGAAAGGTTTGGGTTTGGGTTTGGGTTTGTGACTTCGAATAGGACAATAGTGTGCCGAACAGTTTGTCCCAGGATAAATGGCAGCCCATTTGTTGCAAGATTTCCCAAAGCCCCAGTGTCTAGGAGTTTTCCCAGAGAGTCTTCGAGCCATTCTTGATATTTTCATTATTATTTCCCCGCACATCTCCGCATCTCTGTGAAAACACCGCCTCCAACAGATCCCATCTCAGTTTTCTTACTTCCCTAAATGCAACTTTTCATTCACTAAACTTGCAGCGTCTCTCTATAAAGACTGCCGCCGTTTCTCGTTCGGGGCATGTGGATACGGATCTGCTCAACCTTCTGCGGTTCCGCTATCTGCAGGCGGCCATCTCTCTGAGCATCTTCGTCAGAAAACTTGGCTACGGGCCTTCATAATTTAAGTTTGTTGACAACTGCTTTGTTGTTGCTCTTAATGTTGGCAGTGCTGTTTTGACCTGCAGTGAAATCATTGTGCGCTACACAGCTTGAGCGGAGCATACCACTCACTAAGGGCACTTCAGATATTAGCCATCACAAGTTTTCACATGGTGAAACATTTATTATGGCTTCTCTTATTGCAATGGACATAAATTGCTGAATAGTTGAGCAGTAAGAGCTAATTCTTTTGCAGTTTTCCTTGGATTGCGATTACATAATGTCGACCGAAGGACTTTCCCGCTGAGTCCTGACCATGTCTCAAGGAAATTCTAACAAAGGGCCGCAGGACTGATAAAGCAATAACGGTACACTGGGCCATTTAAACCTTATACCTTCACAAAGGCCCCGGGCCACACTTCTTATCCTTTATCCTTCTGTTTTGCCGTGTTGTTCGAACCCAAGGATAAATAAAGGTAGACAAGGAAACTGGATGACTTTCCCCGCCCTTTCTGACCGCAGTAAGCCGCTTACACTCTTCGGATCCCTTAATTCCCGCATTAAGCCGCTAATCGAATCGCATCTGGACTCTATAAAAATATTTGCACAGCCAGGTCAATCAAGTGAGAAAATGCGCTCTAAAGGCTTATTGCGCAGATTGAGATTACAAATTTTCTCATAGTCAGAAAGAAACTAATTCGGATCAAATGAAGATACAGAAACTCAAACTTAAGGAACGGTTTTGAAAACCCATCTTTGGCGGGCCTGCAATTGGCTCGGTTTGCCAATTTTTGCTAATGACAGGCGATTTTTCGCCTGTTAGTGGCGAGTTTCGCGCGAAATTAAAATCCAGACCGCACATCATTTGTCAAGGCAACACCTTGATCCACCCGGATCCCGACTGCACATCATCACCCCTCGGTGGCTCATTTGAATGGCATTTCGATATTGAGGAGGCCAAGATTAATGCTTTTTCTGGCCCAAAATTGAATTTTCATCTCAGCTCTGGGCGGCGAAAATTGTTTCGGTTTCAGTTTTGGGTTCAGTTTCTGTTCCCCTCGTATGGGTTTTTTGAACCAGACGATTTTATAAGGAAATCATTTACGGCATGTACCGCAGGTACTGACATCTCACTAAACGTAATTTCAACACAACTAATTAAAATCGCTGTTGTTGATGTGCGCGGTCCGTTTTTCTTGGATGCCTAAGTTCAAAACAAAAAGCAAGTGGCTGAGGGGGAAAACTGGCTTGGCCCGTGGCAAACTGACAGTCTGGGTTTCTTTTTAATTATCAAAAATATTTTTATGGCCACGACGACGACGCTTTCGGCTGAGATACGAATCTCCAAGTCGGTGCCGAAGACGGTACTCCGAGATTCAGATTCGGGCTTAAACCAAGCCGACTTTTGCTTGTGTTTCTGTGTTTTTGTGCTTTGAGAGCCAGAAGCCGCGCGCGGCTCAAATAAAGCTACAAAAAACGCAGCTTCAAGCCCGTGATGAGCGCATTAAAATAAATTTAAGAGCCCTCAAAATGTTCACTTTTGAGGCAAGGTTTTCAGTTTGGGCTGGCACGGATTTGCGGGTGACCTACGGTGGGTTGGGACGATGGACAGATTTAGTTAATTGTTAATTCTCTTGCATTTTCGGAAATCCTAATCCTGTCCTAAAATAATGATGATAAGGTGTTCCCCATCTTATATTATTACTAATATTCATCTTCAGAAGTTCAGTTTTTGAATTGCAATACATCAGTTCCCATCGAAATACCGAATATTTAATATTGATAAAAATGATAGGAAATCAACTTTCCAGACAAATTTGCCACATGCCACATTATGGAACTAGAGAATAATTATTTCAAAGTGGCTAAAATTTTCCAACACATTCGGCAGGTATATGAAACATTTTAGCAGATTCGCGGGCGCTGCCTTCTTGTTGTTATTCGGCAACTAGAATTTCTTGGCCAGCTCATGGAGTACTAACCCGGGCTCGAGGGGCTGTTGCTGGGCGTGCATTCCGGCTCCGGGCGGCTGCTGGTGTCCGGTCATTTTGTTGTAGGGCGGCATGGCGCAGAGGTCCTGCGTGGGCACCATCCAGCTGTGGGTGAAGGGCACCGCTGGCATGCCCAGGGATCCCATGGTGGCCATGTGGCTTCCGGGGTGTCCGGGTGTGGGCTGCCGCTGGTATCCGGCGTAGTCCATGGCCACGGCGGCCTGGTATGGCAACATAGCGATGCTCGGGGCTTGGCCTTTCGTTCTGATTGGAAGCCTGATGATCTCAGGAAGTTTTCAACTACTTTCTGGCACTCTATCACTCTATCACTTGTTATTGCACTTGGCTAGGGGCACGGATTCGAGGGGGCGTGGCATTCGTTTTGAAGGCCGCATCCTTTTGTTTTCCGCGTCACACAAACGCAATCACACACGCACGTGTGGTACGTGTCTTTAGTTATCCTGCTATCCTGCGAGCGATGTACGTACGGGTCACGCACTAGGGATCGGGATCGGCAAACTAGCCGTCAATCGATTGGCATTCAAATGAGGCGCGTTCGCGTCCAGTTAATTTATCTCCCGCACTTGGCACGTCTCCGGGTTACTGGTTACGGGTTACGGGCTACGGGCTACGTTCGTCGCTCTGCGTTCTGCGGAATGAGACCTGCCAATTACGGACACGCACTGCCTTTGCCTCGAAAGGGGGTGAGCGAAAGAGATGGCCCTACGGATGTTCGGATGTACGGACACACTTGCACGGCCGGGCTGCGTACGTGAAACTGCAGCTGATGACGCTGACAACGGAATACGGAATACGATAAACGGAGTACGCCTACGGTGTATTGTGAGCACGAGTACGGAGTACGGAGCACGGAGTACGGTATGCGGTACGTCCGTCGCTGACGACGAGTACGTGCAGAATAATCCAGAGTCACGTTCACGTCACCGAACAAAACCAAAGCAGGGCAAAAAGGCAGAGAGAGAAGCCCAACAACAATCGGTCGGCGGCAGAGCGCGCGCAAGAGCGAGAGAGGGCTAGCCCGCGAGCGAGAGGGCACACCCGAAATTTGGGGGTGACTCTCTAGGCAAAAAGCGAAGCCACGGCGCCAAGTGGTAGCAGGCATTAGGGTGACTCTAAAATAGGGATAACTGCTATTTGGCACAATTTGGAGCCAATTAGTAGGGAAACCTACTAAGATATTGCACTGTTGTAAGAAATTTATAAGTACTAAATAAGTTTTCTTTAATGACTGTTCAAACTATTCAACCAATTTAAGCAGCACCCTAACTTGCTTGTCCCAAAAATAGTGTACTCATTTATACATTTTGTAAATTGTAACCGTTTTTTAGCTTTCTCTAAATGGTGGGGGCTCAACGACGAAATCGAGCCACCCTAATGCTCCAGGGTGTGTTTGTGTGCGGGTGCCTTTGTGGCTGTGTGGGTGAGCAGCACCTGACCGCCGGCAGAGTCATGTGCGAGCAGCGCCAGTAGCATTTTAAGCAGCCTCACGCTCTCCGCACACACGCACACACTCCTTCGGCACACACACTGGGGGCGGGTGTGTGTGCGTGCAAATGGGCGGGACGTGACGCGGCGTCGAATCGGAATCGACATAGTGCGCATACCAAATGAGCCGCATCCGTGACGGCAGAGCGAGCGGGACAGCGAGAGCGGCCAGAGAGAGATGGCTGGATGTACGTGCCTGTTGGCAAACGGGTTTGCCCTAACGCCATCTCGCTCACTCGCACGTACGTAGCCCATCACACTGCGTTTATGTACTTCGCACAGATAGAGAGAGTGGGGGAGAGAGAGAGAGAGAGAGCGCGAGCTTTTGTTTGGCGCTGCAGCACGCGCAGCAATTAGTTTACTTCTTTACACATTTGGGAATTCGCGGGCCTCTCGCTCGCACTCACGCGCTGCGTGGGTGTTGTTGCTGGCTCGCCTTTTTATGTGTGTTTGTGTATGTGACCGAAATGCCAATGGTAAGCTGAGAAGCTGAAGCCTATGGATGGAGGGATATATCCTGCGGAATGAACGCGAACCCTTGAACTATGGGCCCCCACAATATAGTGTTTGATTGGGGCGGGGCGGGGGCGCACAGGTAGTCCGGGGGAGGGGTGATTTGTTATTCCGAGCTCGCACAGACAGAAGCTGTCTCTTTTATGTGCCTATTTGTACAGTACTTCCCCACCACGCCCACACCACGCCCTAAAAGGACCCCGCGAATGAAGGCAACATCCTCTTTATTTCCACGGAAGGAAGGTTGACTCGTCAAGGTGGGGGTCACCATTTGGCAGCTTGTTTGAAAACTAACCGAGAAGCGGATACAACCTTGATTGAGGCATATAGAAAAGATGGTTCTAGTATATGATATTTCATTTGTATGATAGTCAATTGTCAGGCTTAATCATGCTTAAATTACGGCGGATCCTAATTAGATATAGCTTCCTTTATCTTATGCTGAAGATGTTTCTAATGCTTTTTCTACCTCCCACTGTCCTTGCCGTTAATTTTGAACACATTTCTAATAAGCAAAATGTTATAGGAATGTTATAAATATATGTTATCGGTACTAGCTTGCTTGAATCTATTCAAAAACCATAACAAAGTCAGTTCTTCAGTTCCTTGGCCTTAACCACAGGCAATTTTGAAGGCCCCGTCGAGACCATCGAGCCGCCCACCCCCGGGAGTAGTATAAACATTACGTAAGCGTAACGTAACTGGAACATGTGTAGAAAACGAAACGTGATCGATTTCTGGGGAGAGAGTGAGTGAGATGGCGAGGAGACAAGTTGGCGTAGCGAATTCTCCCACAATTACGGCGGCGGCAATTGTGAATTTTAAAAAGGAAACGTGCCAAGTGTTTGGGTCAGGCGCCAGGGGGTTAGGGGTGTCCAGGTTCAGGTCCAGGCCGGGAGAAGAAGAGGTGGCCCAGAGTAGACAATGAATGAGGAACTCGAATTCAGCGCTCGCCATAAAAATCGAACGTGGAAAGCGTTCGCGCTTCCGGAATGAATGGCAGGATGTGGGGCTTGAGGGGGTTAAGGGGCCAACGGGCCAACGGGCGAACGGGCCTGTGGTCATGTCCACGTCCACATTCACGTTCACGTCCAGACACCGGGCAGACATCGTGGCCATCATCATCTTCGTGGTCATCATCATCGTGAGGCATTGAAATTGTCCGGGGGCAAGTGGAGAAGCCTCCTTTTGTAGGTCGGAAATCGGCAGTGCGTGCACACTGAGCAAAAAATTAATACGTAAATCATTGATTTTAGATCATAGTGATTCACGCGGACTGTAGCCAACAAATGCTCAATGCTCAAAAAATAACATTATCGCAAGACGATTCTTTGTGCAACTTTGGGTTACTAACTGTATGGTCTTGGTTGATATTTCTTGACTTATCCTAGTACAAAAGCTGAAACCTCTCGATCCGAATTCCCAGAACGCGCTCAATAAGTTCGATTTTTTTCGAGTGCGTGGATTGTGTGTGGATGGTGAGTGGACGGCGTGTGGCATCAGTCGCCCGAGGACAATGGCCACGGACGTGCAACGATGCGTGTGGTGGCGCCTCAACCCCTCATCCCCTAAGCACCGTGCCCCACGCCCCTATTACCACCCCCTCGCCATTTTGAGGTGCGTGTGCGTGTTGCGGGCGTCGATGGAACATGGACATGAATTTTCATTTCGGTTTCGGTTTCAGTTGCGTTTTCTGCTTTGGTTTTTCGAAAACACTTGTATTCCAGTCAGGAGCTAAAACTCGCTTTTATGAATGAAAGAGTGCGATGGCCAGCGGGGGCAGAACTAAGGCTCAAGTGTCTGGCGCACGTCTGGCCTGCTCTCCCACACATCACGTCCCAGGAACTCTACGGCAACAACCTACATCTAATACTTTTAATTGGCTGAGCTTAAAATATCACGGTTTTAGTTTAACCTGTTTTTTGGCACTCACAATTAAGGGATCATAATGGTTGCTGTCTTAAAGCTAGAAAAAACTAAACAGACATCAATATAATGTACCTCGTAAAGTAATGATATATTTCCATCAGGAAATGTGTTAAACGTAAGAGATGCCAATTCGGTGGGTTCTGGGTTAGTGCAAAAGAGACGGCAGGAATAGTTGGCGAGTTGTTGCATCCATCACGTTTACTCGGACGCACGAGGCGTCCATTTCAAATAGGAACGTGATGGCCAAAGGCAATCCACATCCACATCCAAAGAAACACAATAATGCAAAAATAAGAAACAGAAAAGCGAGAACCAGAAAACCATTCCGTTTAACGGCGCCTGGAAAGCAATCGATGAGCAAGTGATCGAGGCGATAAGATAAGCGAGAAATAAGTGGGAAAGGAGTGAGAGAGGAGTGAGAAAGGAGCCGGAGAGGAAGCAATAAACTAACCGCGATCGCTGATCTGTCACCATTTCTCCTTCAGGAGGCAGGCCAAGCCCCCATAAAACTGACGCGCGGTGATAAAATAGCTGGACGAGATGATTTCCAGAAGAATCATTTCTACACCCGGAGGAAATATCTCATTTCTTATTGGTGAGTGTTCACAGCACGAAATATGTACAAAAAATGGCTATTTAGTATTCGATAGCCATGCAATTGCGTTAAAAGAATTTTCCAGAATAACAAGCAACAAGATCCGTACGTGTTAGTACAAACATAAATTCAAAATATTTAAATCATCTAAGTAAACACATCACAGCCCAATTTTTACCAGTGTTTTTAGTCGCTGAATAGTAGCCAGAGAAATTCCTTATCTCGTTGTCAGATCTGAGGAGATTTTGGTGTGCCCTAACTGTTTCTCGATTGTGTAACACAACAGAGAGCGAAACATAACGAAAGCAGTGAGAAAAAAAGACAATAAGCTGAGTTTATAACTCAAAACCACAGGAGAGACCAACAATTGAGCAATAAAACATCAGCACGAGAGAGAGAGGGAGCGCGGTAGCGAGAGCGGTGGGGAGAGTGAGGGTGAGGGTGAGGGTGAGGGTCGGGGCCCATGAAATCGGAGTAGTGCAGTTCGGGAGCGTGATTCTTATCGCAATTGTGCGTGCTTCCGATGAAATGCTCTCCTGAGATTTCAAATGGAGCTTGGGCCATTACTTTTTCGGTTCAAAATGAGGGGCTACCATTTCTTACTTTCTTTTTTTACTTGTGAAGTTCTGCTGCTATAATCCTCTTTGATAATGTTGAGTTCTATTCATAAATTGTTTAAATTGATTTCTTGCCTGAGCTTTTCCCTTGATTGATCAATTTGCAGTCGATCATTGATAGTTCGTGAAACGTAAAAGTAGCTCCAATAGCCCATAAAATAGCAATCTGAACGAAAGATTCCCCCTTGTCTTTCGTTCAACGTTTGTCGTTCAATTTTCTGGTACTCAGCTAAATATTTCGCATGTTTGCGAAGAACAGAGAAGTCGCGGCGACACAAAATGTTCAGTTGTGCTCGGAATTAATAATTAATATTCTTGCACCTTACTAAACTCGAGATGTCGCGATGTGAAGAAATAATCAATGCCATGCACTATATCAGCTCAGAAAAAAGTTAAAACCAAAAAAACTACAGTTGGCAGTGCATGACCGTGAAAGAGTTGAAGACGAAGAGTTGAACAAAGAAAAAGGTATCGAACGAGCCTTACCTGTAGTATATGAGTACGTATAATAATGTTGAAATTACACTTCTTATTAGGTACTTAAATTGTCGATTTATAACAACTGGATTAAACAGAAGAATTTTTGTGGTAATAGATGTCTTTGTGTCTTTTCAATTCTCCATATCTTGATTGAATGGAATTGGACCAAAAAACAAACTAAAGTTTAAAGCAATTGGTGAGTGGTTTTTCCTTAACTTAGACTAAGACCCTTGTGTCCCTTGGTCCAATACGCCCCGAATACCCTCTGAAGATGAGTCCTCCAATCCCCGGTTTTCTGCTCGCGAGCTGGAAGCGTGTTCGGGAGCCAAAGTGCATTCTTCGCGTTTCTGGAGGTTGGTTAAGACCCGGGGAGGGGCTGGAAGACTGGCTGGAAGACTGACTGGAAGAGAGAGGAATTCGCCACGGGCTTTTCATGTGCTTCAGTTTGGCTTTGTGCCTTGAGTTTTTGTCAGCTTGTCATTTGCGTTGTTCAATTAATTGCAGAAATCAATTTGAGCAATGCTACTTTACCTCATTGCTGCATTGTTGTGGCCGAGTGTTGTTATCGTTGTGTTTTCCACTTGATCGATTCATTGGAAACGGATTGGGGAACGAATTGGGACTCGGCCACTGCTGGGTTACTGCTAATTGCTACAAGGCTCGATCCCAGAGTGCAGAGTCCTCGGACCCGGGTCTGAGAACTAGAAACTTGTCTAGAACTCCACCGAACTCCACCTTCCCTGTTCTTCGAGGCTTTCTGCCTCAGATCTTCCGGCAGACTAAGAAAAAGAGTGTGACAACGCGCGACAGCCCCGAGATAAATCCAATTAGTCCGATATTTGTACTTTTTATGTGAGAATTCCCATTAAAAATGTAAAATGTCATAACAAAACGAGAACAAGACAACAAGTCAGTGCGGAGCAGACAGCGCACATCAAGTGGAATCTCGTTCGGATCGAGCCGAACTATCTGTACACTAGATTAGGCCAGGGGAACTAGGTGGGGTATAGTTATGCCTGGTGGAGAGCTGCGATATTTGAGATACGTTTTCTATTCGAAATCTTTGCTTAAACCTGAATAAGAAATGTTTGCATATAGCATAAAGTATCCGCTGTGCTTTTCCCATTTGAACCAATCCAACGCTTAATCAGCGATAACCGCCCGGCATTAGATACCCTGAAAGCTGCCAACGGTTTCTGCTGTAAGCCGCGGCGGATACCAGGTATCTCATAGATGCGCCTTTGACGTCTGTCGCGCCGACTTCTGAACATCGCGAGATGTCCAGACCCAGATGGAGAACCTCGGGACGCAGACGGCGGCGAAAAAGACGACTTCGCTGGCATTCTGGCATTCAATAATTTTATGCTAACAAATGCGATGCGCAGTCGCAGTTGCCGCTGCCGCCGCCGCCAAGTGGCGCTGAGCATGGGATGGAAGGGGCTGGGATCTCGAGATCTGGGATCGGGGAAACTGAATCGTTTACGGTAACATTAACACTTACCGCGCATTCACCGAGGACTGGGCCGCTCCGATCTCCTCCATGGACTTTCTGCAAGAAGAAGGGGCCGAAGAAAAGAAAGCAAAAAGCACATTTAAGTCGGGCTGTTGAATTCGATTAGCGTGAAGCTGTTACGGCGGGAAAAAGCTGTGGCATTTTCTAAATAAATTAAATTAGCCGATAAATGTCTCGGCTCACTTGTTGGCTGCGCTCACCTGTCGCCCCAGCACAGTGCGTCCTCGCGGTATCTGCAATGGAGATGGGATCGTAGAATTAGCGGGTATCTCAGAGGTACAAATACAAGGCTAGCAGGAAGCGCAGTGCTAGAGTTTGCTTAAATCGATCATACAATAGGCCCCAATCTTGGTGTATTATTAGCCTGAAATACCTTCAAACCCAGGCTTATTGAGCCTGGTAGATTGTTTCTAGGGATTGTTAAATACATTTTAATACTAGCAATCACATCGAAGCCTTGGCATTAGCGGGGATCTAACCAGAAACAGAAACACAAGGTCAACAGGAAGTGGATTCGCGAAATCGGAGCATGCAGAACCAGCAATCTGGCCAAATTATACAAGAACTGGACATTATATGCTGACTTCCACTTTATAATCAAGTGCAAGCACCGATCTAAAATTTATTGATTTGCCCCTCGACTGCGAGCCTCCTGCGCTCGTAAATCATTGCCCCCAAAAAGCATACCCTATTCCACCATGCGTCCGTCCCCTCAGCTCCTTCCCCAAAATTTGCTGACCCTTCGATCGGTGGTTTTTCGGCGGTTTGCCGGTGGAGCGGCCCATCCATGGATCGATCGAAACCGTTCAGGCTGAGCGCCGGCAAGGGGAGCGAAATGATTTCGAGTCGCAGTCATGGCAATTATCAAAATTGTAATTTGCTTCGCGGATTTTCCCCCGGCTTCCTTTAATTTCGCTTTGATTGAGTTCATCAGTTGCAGGTCAGGCTTTATGGGAGGAGTCGTGGAAGGAAGTGATAGTTCCAGAGAGAGGTTTTAAGGTCTAGCTATTATACCATTACTTTTACTAACAACGCTGGAGCAAACCACTATCTTCGTGATTCAGGACTTTGCATTTATCACTTTCACCGATATTCGTGATATTCCATAAACCATTTCTCTTGACCTATTGAGCTTTTGGATTATTATTTATTATTCCTTGAAGAATAATTTATAAATTCTTGAAGCACTTCCCAATCTTTAAGTTCATACTGCCAGCCCACTTGGTTTTTTAATCTATTAGCGCTTCCACTCGGTTGTCCACAGCCCTTGTCAAACATTTACTGGGTTTCTTGCTCCAACTCCCACTGTCCTCCAACCCACTGAGACACGTGTTCTCCCTCAACGATCGCCGGGGAATGCCAAGGAATTCTCGGCGGAGCGGGGAAAGGGCCATCTGAGGGGGTTCATCCCGGCGAACATCTCCTGCGGCTGCTATTTTTAAGTGTTGGCATAAAAGGCTCCTCCAGCAATGAGATGTCAACATTGCTGGGCAATGAAAAAAGAGCAGAATAAAGCTCGATAATAACAGATAATTGTGTTGAACATAGGCCAACTATTTGGCCGGACTCCGGTTCTGGCCTGCCCCCTATCCTGGCCGAGATCGCCGGCTGAGGGCCACAAATCAAAGCCTCATCAGCGGAGATATAAAGTTCAAGTGATCGAATCGATCTCTCAGGTGAAATAACTTAAAAAAATATCCCCCAACTCGGCTCGGATTTTTTCGGAATTCGTGTATTTAGTTTTTGAGAACTAACACTTTTAAAAATTCCATTTAGGGATAATGGTTTCTAAAATCGATTAGAAACCCATTAGAGAATTCGTGTGTTGTCTTCGATTGGTATATTTTTTCTGAGTGTGGTTTTTCTTTGTTGTTTACTTTGCTTTTCTGGGGACTCTGTCCGTCCTGGCATCCATCCATCGATCGATCGGTCGGTCGGCCAGCCAGCCTGCCATCCATCGATTCCAGTGAGTGTCACCCGGTTATCCAGGAGCAGTGGCGAGGAGCGGACGGGGAGCGGACAAGATCGGCCCAATACATCGTTGTCGTCGTCACTTTGATTGCGTTTCGTGCCCAATTAGTCTCAGAGCACTTGAGTGCGTAAAAACTTGTACCGCACCATAAATAAATTGGCATGAGGAAGACAGGAGCCAGCAGCCAGCAAAAGTCGGAGTCTCGACAGTGTCTTCCACTGCGTCTGCCCCCTGCACGGACTCGAGTTCAGACGTCGTTGTCGCCAGGACTGTCAATATAAGGAGGTCTAGGGTTTTATTCTGCTGGGCCCTTTTGCCTTTTTGCCTTTTCGCCCTGCTGCCGAACTGGGCAGTGGAAGTTACATAAGGGCTGGCCAAACCGACTATTAAGAGGCTGTTCCCGGCCAGCCCATCCCTCACCCCTTCTGGCCATAATTACGGAACATATTTCATAATAATAAGGTGTGTAATCTGCACATTTAACTAGCCCACCAAGCCCTCCAATTACAGTCGCCCCACCATTGGGGTGCCATGTTGGTACATACTTAAAAAGCGATTTCTAAGGATGTCGTCGCGAGCTGATTGCAGATCTAGTGACTTTATAAGATAATTAAATGGAGCTATGGGATACCTTACATATAGTTTTCATACTTTCTTCCGATTTAAAACCATCCCCTCCTGAGACGCCCAACTCCATGGAGCAGATTTTCCCACCATCACCGAATTGCCTCCGATAGCTTCCTGCTGTTCGATTGGCGAATTTCATCACGATCGTTACAAAACCCGATCCACTGTAGATCCAGCTCCTTTATGCCCCGCTCTAAAGCGGCGACAGATCGTATTTACTTTTTGAATGATGCTGTCAAAGGCCCCAAAGCGATTTGTGGTTGGACACTGATCGGACACGCGATCCCCTCGTCCTCCCCTCGGTGGCCTATCTATCATTATTGATTGTGCCCAAAAGAGACGACGCTGTAATGGAGGAGTGTGGACTTGGGCCTGGACCTGGACCTGGACTGGGGTCTCCTCCGTTTTGCGATTTGCGGTAGTCATGGACAATTATTTATATTAAAAGCAAAGTGCTCGGTGCGCCCGAGGAATGTTTACAAAAATATTACGTTCAAATCAATTGACTACGCTTCGTTGAGGGATGAGCCTTATTAATCTTCAAATTAAAGGCATCTACAAAGTATTATTTTAAATGACTTTATTACAGCTTCATCTACAAGCTTGAGTCGCAATGGGTAATACTTCGATTCAGAAATTCTGAAATTTCCCCCCTCACTTGTGAGGCGTTTATTTCTGCTTAAGTTTATTTTAACAATTTTAGGGTTTTTTTTTTCTGACCCAGCTTTGTTGCTTCTCCTTCAACGAAAATGTTGTTTCGTTTTTTTGCGCTGTTTCTCCACTTGGCCTTAATATGAAATTTTCGCTCTAAATTCCGCTGATCAATGATTGCCTTTTGCCGATCCCTCGGCTCCAGCCTCCTTCCGACTCCTTTTGAAGTCCCAGACTGACGAACTGACGAACTGCTGTTCAACTGATCGAGTTCGACTCCTTCCTCTGCCGATCATCATCATCATCATCATCAGCCAGATCGAAGACAGCAGCGATCCCGATCCCAGCTTGTCTTCTTACCGACCTTGCTGTAGTTATTGTTGTCGGCAGGGATTCCAACAATTTCGAAAACTTCTCATACATATTTATAAGTTTGGCAAAGTTTTGTTTTTGCAAAAAAGAAGCGTAAAGCCCAGCCTACAACTTTTTCAATGATACTCTTATTTGGGGAGAAGGCATTCTTTGAAGGTATAAAATAGATACCTTTACTAATATTTTGAAATATTAACAGGCAGCAGCAATTGCTTACTTCTTGTTATGCGTATATGACACGTAGCTGTGCATGTTTGAGGTATGACTTTTGTTTTTAGGGTACTTATATATTCGATCTTGTTCTGCACTGGTTCCCTTAACTTGATTTTCGTTGATGGTTATTGAAGAACTTTCGGGTTGGTCCCTTGGAACCCTTATCTCAATTATTTGATCGCCTGGCAACAGGGAATGCGCTCTGGTGAGGAGGCGATACCCGATACCCTGTACTTGGAGTACAATCAACCGCGACTATCTGTGCATCGGGTGCTACTATCTACACATGGTCTTTATATAGTCGCAGGTCTAATGTGCCAGCCATCGATTTATGAATCGCAGACTAATCATCGAGCTAATCCAGCGTTTGATATTCCACTCAGGGATTTGTACTTTTGCACTCTGGGTGTGCAGGCTGCTGGAAGCCGGGGGAGGGGGCATAACTTATTGGGGAATCGGGGGGTGGCCCTTACTCACACACTCACACACGAGTGTGTGCCGTTTAATGATTGTTATTGTAACACGGCATGAATTTCAATTAATTTTTCGCGCTACCAGAAGAGGAACCACAGCGACTTGTCTTGGCGTTGATGAAATTGTTGGCTCACTTTGAGTTTCGCCGGCAGCAAGGACATCCCTCTCGACTAAGTGTGTGTGTGTGAGCGTAATAGCTTTATGCCTGCCGGCTGTGTGAACATCAAGCTCATCAACTCACCAAGGAAAAACCATCTACACCAGATAATACTTGAGTGCACTGGGGGAAAAGTAATGGTCACGAAATTGATTTGAAATAAATTGGAGACAGAAAGAATTCTTTAAAACCGAGAGTTTTGGTTTGAGGTTTCTCCATCGACTTTAAAGCTCAAGAAAGAATCGAAACGTCATTTCTCCCGGTGCACTGACTGCATCTGTGGCCACTTGAGAGCCAGAGGCAACGTTGTAATTTGCCTCAACCTGCAACTTGATGCTGCTGTTGCATCTTCAGCGGTGCGAGTGGGTGGAGTGTTGAGAGAAATGGTTGGGGATTGGCTGTTGGCGAGGGGCAGCATCCACCGGCTGAAAGTCAATTTCGGTTCGAACAGTTCGTCCTGCTCGAGTGTTGCGCCTCATTTGCATAATTTAATTGAATGTGACGTTGGACAGCAGGAGAGCACCGAGTGTGACGCCTGGGAACCTCCAAACCACGGAGCCACCGAACAAGTGTAGCCCATAATGCATTTTGGGTGGGGCCTGGGCAACACCTTTGCGGATCCCTGGATCTCCTTATTGGATGGAATCCACTGATTGAAGTGAAACCTGCGGTCTTTCTTTGTGGGCAGATGCTTTGATAAGGACGCGTTCTGATTGGACTATTAGGGAAAGCATTTCGTTGGTCCGATTTATACTAAAACCAGTGCCTACCGTAGTTTTTCAAGGAATCTTTATAAAGATAAATGCACTTTCAAAATCTCTTCTAAAGTTAATCAAGATGAGTTTAGAAGCTTCCTAATTTTCATTAGTAATTTGAAACTAGCTATCCCTTGTGTTTCCAAATCCATTTGCTGAGGTGGCCACTTGGATCTCCCGCGTTTAATGGCTGTTCGCCGTTTCTCATATGTTCATTCCCATCATCAGGTTTGTATGTCTGTGCCGCCATATCCCCGCCAAATCCCCGGACGGAGCCAACATAATCGCAATCATAATCTGCTGCATTTTATTTCATTTTCTCGCGCTGAGCTTTGTTGCTTTTTGTTGCCTGGCTCTTTGTTCGGTTTCATTTTGCTCTTTATGCTTTGCAGCAATTTCTTAATGGCCGTCTTGCAGTGCTACTAACCCTGGTACCCCCATCCCGGAACCCCCCAAATCCCCTCCCTGGGAGCTATCTGGGTATCCGAGTCCACCAATCACGTTCGAAATATAAATTGTTGAAATGATGGTTTTTCACTGCACATTTTGCGGTGTTACCGTTGTCTGGGATGGGGTCTTAGCAATATGGAGGGGGCTATCGGGGAGCGGTGGCTAAAAGGGGGGCTCTTGGCCTCGAAAACCGCAAAGAGCTCGAATCCTCTTTGCTGACCATGGAAAATTGTGTGTGGAGATCGCTTTGTGCAATGAAAATGCGGTTCGTGCTCCTGGCCCGCATTGGGGTTTTTCAGCTCAAACCCCCTGGAAATTCCCCTTCCAATAACAACAGCAACAAAGTCGTCGGCTGTAATGAAAAACAAACGTCCCAGCAATTTTCCAGTTAGGTCAAAACTATTTTTGTCTCACTCGTTTTTAGTTATCGTGGCCCCTCCCCCGGGGCTGCCCGTTTCTCCGTTTCTCCCAGTGTAATGTAACTTTAACGAATTGAGGCATAAGCAAAAATAAAAAAGTGAAAAAATAAAATGAAAATAATGGGAAAAAGGCCAAAATGAAATTGAGGCAGCGTCATCAGAGGCAGAGTCAGAGGCAGAGGCAGCCCATCGCAGGTTGGCGAGGGGCAACAATCACAGTTTAGATTTCAGCAGGTAACCCTTTTCCCTCCGCGCTGCTTCTTGCTTTTAATATTACTTCGCGGCCCTCTCTGCGGCTCTTCGTCAATATTCGCCAAGGTAATAACTCAGGTGATTATAGTAATTATGCGTTCTGACGCGATCCAGCCACGGATAACGCTATTCCGATATAATTGAAAAATGCTGATAGACGCTGATTGTGTGAGCCGAGAAGTTGGAGTGGCGGAGTCGGGAGTTCAGAGTCGGAGTTAAAGCTGGAGTCCCAGTTGAAGCTTAAGTCCGGAACAGGGAGGCCTATGTGCACTTTAGAGATGTGCAGCTAACCGATAGGAAGGGAAGTAAGTCACGAGACTCACGACTATAGCCTTCAAAGATAAGATTGGCGAACTTTTCGTAGTTCATGTTTAGATCACATGATGCTCTATTAATATTCCTGATTTTTATGTCTTCATATCTTTCTGACGCAGCACGTTTATTAAACATTTCGCTGTAGATTAACAATTCTGGCCCATCTTGGCCATCTCTAGTCCCCAAACCCCAGCCACTGGTAGTCAAAGCTGCAGTGCCCACATCTGGAACTCCTCGAGTCTGAATCCGCAATCTTAACTACAACCTCGACTCTTTCGGCGGGGCCACCAATCAGAGTTCATGAATTACATCGCCATTGCAATATTGTTGTGGGAATGTCTAAAAGAGGTCTCGGCTTAAGACAGAGTCCGGATTGCCACTTCTGCTTCATGGCTATTGCGGCGAAATGTTCTTTGATGCCGATTTCATTTTTCGATATTGAAAATAACCATGCATTATGGAGGAGGCTTATGAAACGCAGGGTACTGGGAGTGGGAAAAGTGAAAGATGGAGGGAGGAGCTGCCTGCCCAACTTATCTCGTGACAATCGCCCGACTTCGTGAGGCGTTCATCGTTCGCTTTTCGGTGGCCTGGTGAGTGAGTGTCGAAAGTGTTATTGTCACGTAAATTCAATTAGTTTAATTATGAGTTTCTTCGATGTTGGCACCTCTGTGGTGCTCTGCCTGCACTTCGAAACTGCAACAATTTAATTTTTCGGACATTAATTTTTTTTAATTTTTATTTTGGCGAAAGCAGTGCTTGGGCGGTACAAACTTCGTGGTGGTTATGGGGTGACAAGGTGTCAGACATGTTTACTGCTTAAAAACTCAAGATTGTAGGTTTATATTTAGCAAAGAACAAGTTTCTCATACAAATACAAACTGATTTAACAGCTGTGTATTTTTAGTTGCCTTAAATTCCTTAGTTTATTGTTGAATTCTTATATACAGCACCTCACTTATGAGCATCCACCCCAAATAGGAAGCACTTAAGTGCAATAATTTCCCACTGCGAGTGGGCAGTTCCATCAATTGTCTCAGCATCTCCGCATTTCAGCCCATTGGATATCAGGTGGACACTTTTCAGCCATTGGCAACGCCCCCAAAAATTTGCATGCAAACTCCAGCGAAAGAGAAACCAATAGAGTGTGCGAAAGAAAGGGAAGCATTGGTGCAGTGTGAAGTGGTTCTGGTTTGGTTTGAGTTACCTGTAGTAGGGGAATCCCTGCGGCACATGCAGATCCATTGGCATCCCTCCGGCGCTTCCCAGGTGCGGATGGTGGTGCGGATGGGTGTGCGGATGTGGGTGCGGATGCGAGTGCGAGTGGTGGTGGTGATGCGAGTGTATAGGATGGTGCATTGAATGGTTCTGGACATGCGCCGCAGCAGCCGCAGCGGCAAACCCGGCATCGGAGGCCATCGAGTGGTGGCCCAGAACGGCGGCCCATGGCGAAGCCACGAACCCACTGCCGTGGTGCTCCATTCCTAGCGGTTCTCTCTATCTATATATCTGACTATATGCAGGCTTATTAGGGTGAGTCAGCTTTTCATAGACACGGAATCGTAGGTGTGGAAAGAAAGCTTAGCAATAAAATATCTGTAGGATGGCAGTATGCCTGCTAGCCTGGCCAATAAAAAATCTTTCTAAAACGGTAATCAAATAATTATCTTTATGACTTGTGGCGTTTATTTGATAGTACGTTTAAATTTTAAGCAAATGAACCAATTATAAACCAAGTAGAATTCTTTCCAGCCCTACGATTGATTAATTGCAACTTGACCCACCCTAATGCGACTATTTATTTTCGGCGATAGCTTTTCAGCTCTTCAGCTATTTATCTTTGATTTGATGTGGTCACACGCACTCTCACAGAGACACAAGCACTTGGGGATTATATAGACATATTTGCACATTCCGTTTGGGCCAAGATGGCGGCCATTATTTACCGTTAACGCGCATGGCCGTTTTAGGGGGGAGTTTTCGGGAGGTGGCTCAGCTCAGCTCAGCTCAGCTCAGCTCGGCCCCTCAAAATCATCCCTGTCCCTACCAAAAAGAACCGACGGCAGCCAACTAAGAGCTGATGCAAACAAAAACAAGTGAACGGTGGCTGAACCGACGTTCAGGAAGGACGAAGGACGCCCAAGTCACAAAGTCAACCTTGAGTTAGGGCTAGGGGTTTCGGTAGCCGTAGGATGTACGGATACGGGCTGCACGGAGGCGATACTACGGGTTACGGGTGCGATAGGGAGCCGGAGCTGGGCTCTCTCGCATCTGGGCAGTGCTTTTCCTTTCGCACGTTTTTGGTCCGCGTTCACCTCTGCACGGCACGAAAATTGGCGATAAACTATCGCCTCGCCTCGCATCAGGAAACATGGTCGGTCGCCTCGGTCGTTTGGTCGGTTGGTCGGTTGGCTGGTTGGAGGTTGTTGGATGGTTGGATGGCTGGATGGCTGGATGTTGTTGGTCCGAACTCCAGAGCATCGTCATCATCGTCATCTCATCTGCGCTGCATCTGCGAAACTTGGAGCGGCGCATTGCAAGCTGCAAATGGTGGTGGAGCAGGTTTTCGTATGGGAGAGTCGCCGCCACACAGATACAGACCCACACACTGATGTGGTGTGGTCCTCTCCAGCACACAGCATACGGCACACAGCATCCACACATCATATCGTATATATCATGTTTTTGTTTTGCCTCCGCCTCGGTCTCGGGGTCTCTCCCTCTCTCTAGAGAGTCGTGCACACCTGAGTTCTCTTCCTCGCTCGGAGCATTCTCTGGAGAATTCGGTGGAGCAACTCTCAACACGCCAGCGGTGATATTGTGTTCTGTGGATGGTGTGTGATGTTGTTGAGGGCGCGATAAGGCGGTCTACTGGGGGAGTCATTTGCTCCCATTATGGGGAGGCCCATTTCGGAATCTACTGAAGCACGAGAGGGAAGATGTAATATTTGAAATGGGAATTTAGAGGACAGGTCTGGAAATCTAAAAAAGGTGGTCACAAACAGTTAGCGGAAATAAGTCTTCAATTTCATAGTTCTACCGAAGCCATTCAATGCAATTCAACTATTCTTGGCAATTTTCATTCAGCAATTGCATTAGAATTATGGTCCACCATAAATTGTAGCCATAAAACTTCCTCGTATACGCCAATAACACACACAATAAACATGTCTGCCATATCTGCCCATTCCACCAGCCTGACCTGTTCCCACAAAACATTTATGATTATTTCCATTTCCATTCTCATAGTCATTTCCCCAGATGGCCAAAACGGAGGGCTTAGAAGAGGAAGGGCTGACAACTTAGTTAAATAAGGCGCCACCTGTCAAGTGATTTTCAATAAAATAAATTCGTGATTACACGACAATATCGAAACGAAAAATCCAAGAGATCAGCACAACAATAACAAAAGACTCCCACGGGGAATGCTGCTGCCCGTTTGGCCTCCAGTCCTCCCCCACTCCCCACTCCCAACTCCCCTGTTCTACCTTCCTGGCCCATCACACACGACTTGGACTTCAGGTTGCGAATCCTTGGCACACACTCACATCCCCAAGCAGACGGAGCCTCCACTTCTGAATCGCAGTCGTGCAGGGTCAACGTCAATACTGAATGTTGTCGCCGTTCCAACTGTCCGTCCAACGGAGCGTCCGTCCGTCCGTCTCGGTGTCTTGGCTTGTTTACAGTGTGCAAAAATCATTTAGACAAGTTGACAAAAGCTCGTTTGGAACGTGAGTAACATGAGTTGGACCCGAGACTGGAGATTCGAACCTGAGGCTGCTGCCTTGGCTGCCTTCGGAATTGGTTCTGTCCGTCCGTCGGTTGCCGTTTTCTGCGGCTGTTTGGGCTTTTGGAGCTTCTCAAGTATCTGAGGTCTTAATTCTAAACATGGCAAATGTGCTTAGAGCGTGCTGCTTAGCTGCTGCTTTGCTGCTTTGCTACTTTGCTTCTAGTTTGGCTGGCCTGTGGTGGCGAATGAAATAAAACGAGGCCTTGCCCCCAGCCGGCTGACCTTTGGCTGTAATGAGAATGATATCCCAGCTCGGAATGTTCTGAATATGTGTGATAACAATGATTGCAGTAGAGTCTTGGCAAAGGCCAAGAGACGTGGGATAAGTAACTTGAATAAAATGAAATGACATATGAACAAAAAACCACTTAACCTACAAAACAGAACATCCATATTGGGTTGGCTTTGCTCCAATAGAAATCAGTTAAATATAACTTTAATAAATTTTTAATAAACTTACATAAAGTTATTAGGCTTTGTTGCTGCTGAGTTTCAATTAAACTAAAAGAAAAGTAACGAAACGCATGTAAACACGAAGAGAGGTTTGGTGACCCCGACTGCGAAGAAAGCCCAGAAACCCTCAAAAACTGTGCGAGTCACGAATTTGCCATGTAATTGCCTTATATAAGAACTCGTATATGACCATGTACCTGTCAGGATATCGACAGAGGCTTCAAGTCGGGAATATGTGCTAAAAAGTACACAAAACTTGAGCCGGAGATGGTGGTGGTGGCAAACTTGCCGTCGTTCTGCGGCACGTGATGTGCATAAGAGAATGAGCCAGGATGCAGGATACGCCGAGCATTTTCGTCAGGATTACAATTCTCACTCTTGCTAGGAATCCCCTGGAATGAGTATTGATTTTTTCGGGCGAAAGTTTAATGAAACTTCTAGTGATTCTAATTTGTAAAGTTTAAAGTAGAAACTATGCATCGATTGATTTATGCCCTTGGCTTGGCAGGTTTATCAGCCGATCGGGGAATGTGGCAAAGACCTTCTGGGTCTGGGACGGATCGTATCGGATCCGTTTGATTGATTCGCTGAAAGTGCGACGAATGGAAATTACGAAAATCCAAGCAAAACAAACGAATAAATCGAGGCGAGCGATCCACACTGATCCACCGATCCAAACGGTTTTGAGGGGTACGTGTTCGTCATATTAAAGGCCCGCTTTAGAGCGAGGGTTGGGCATGGGGATTACACTCAGGGAAACGTTAGACATATTATAAATATATGACAATTTAGTTTGGGAATTTTAATATGAAGTAGAAACGGGAAAGCAGTTGGGAACGGTGAGTTGCAGTGAAAAGTGACTCAAAGTTACTGAAATATTGAAGCATGCTTTAATTAAAGATAGTTTTGAGGAGTGCATGTATGACTATGGCTTGAACCTACAAATTGTTGTGAACGCAGGCTTGTTTTTCGATGCCCCTCTGTTTTTGGCAGTTGCTGCCGTGCATTTAAATAGCACACCTGCTGAAGACCCTGGGACTCCACCAATTTCGTAGAATTTGTCGATATTTATGAGCCTCTGTTGCCGACCTGTGATTTCTTGGATTTGCATAACTGGGTCTCGGTACAGCCCGTACATGCTTAATTTCTCCCAAATAAATGGCCACAAATAAAATAACTTTCGACGCCCCCGATTTTGAAGAAAGAGCAGAGGGGCCTTATCCATCTTGGTCACTTTTAGGGGATGATATCCGCCGGCGGAAGTGGCAAAGTCGAAGGGGAAGCCGGCAGCCGGCTATGGAGTTGAGATGGAGTTTCTTTGATATTGATTTTTCCGGGACCCACTCTCGTGTGGAAGACGTGACTGGAATGGTCAGTTTCCCTTCGCTTTTCCTCCCGAACTGGGACTTCATCTTGAGGCCGCACTGTATGCAAAAGTCGCACCTGGAACGTGTGAACAGTTTTTAGCAATTAACTGACAACTGATGATGGCAAAACCAGGAAGAGGAGGCTGTGCCCCACTCCTCCCTCCCCTTGCCAGTAGCATGCGGCATGCAGCATGCGGCATGCGGCACGCGGCGTCATGCAGTCTGGCCCGGCCCAAAAAGGATGGAAGGGGATTGGAGCGGCGTGCCCCAAACATTCATCCTAATTGGCGTTCAATCTCCGGCTGCCTTCGATTTGCATGCACACGCGATGTCCGCTGGCCAAACTCGAACCGAAACTCCCAGGCGAAGTGGATGCGGCAGTCGGTAGCCACGTTCTCACATTCCAATTTGGACCAGCTATTACGGCACAGTGGGAGCCATGGATGCATTCAACGGCGAATACTCCACATTTAAAATATACATTACTTTAGATTTTGTCTTGTGCAACAATAGTTTTTTGTTAACCCAAAAGTTTCATTCAAACTTATAACACTTTTATAACCATGTACATCAGTTCTTTCTTTTAATTATTCTGCGCACCAGTGTAAGATATAGTGCCACAGTCGAGGCTCAACCCATGTGTTTGCTCAACTAATTAACATTTTTAATGGCGAATCCTTGTAAGAAAACCCTGGATGTGTCTGGCATCGGGGGAGTGGAAAGTTGGGAGGGGAATGTCTTGCGTTTATTTGTATTTAAAGGATTTGCCTGAGCTGCGGCCAATGTCAAATGTTTTTGTTTAATTTAGATCCACAGCGGCAGATAATTTATGCCGCCGCAGCTTTCGCCTGAAGACCGAAAAAAGAGAGCGGTAGAAATACATGGCAGGGTCTTTTGCCGGCGTTTTTGATTTTGGGATGTCAAACATCCAAGCTCTAAGCTCTCGTCAGATTTTAATCGGGTTGCAGTCGAAAGAATCGCGAGGAACCTTAGATAACATCAGTTTGGGTTTTGTAATAGAGAAATATTTCATGTGGCCAAGGAAAATGTTTGGACAGCCCTTGACTTATCGCCAGACACTATCCTCAGTGGTCGTGTGTGGGTCTTATCCTTCGGGTCCCAGGGTGTCCTTCGGCAGGTCTTTACCGTTACACTCACTTTCTACGGAAAGGATCGGAACCCAATAATGTCATAAATTTCATAAAGTGTCAAAAGGAACACCTGAATTTCTTCCAAGGACATGCCTTCTACCTCACTTTTGCTGCTCTAGACAGTTCCTTTTGTAAATGGGTAGATTGGGATAGGGGCGTTTGCCCGGTTTTATCGTATTATGTAATCACAACTGTGAGAACAAGGAGAACATTATGGGTTTCCTTAACCATGACCTAACAAATGTTGTTTTTTATTTTGATCAGGTTGGTAATATATCAAGACGAAATTTTAATAGGGAAAATATAGTGCCCGATTTGTGAAAACTTCCTAATTAACTGTGCTCCATTTATAAGGAATGTTTAACTATCGAACGCATTTTTGTAAAGGGTTCAATGAACCAACCCCACGAAAATCGCCTCCAATTCAGACCGGACTCTCTCTTACTTACCTGTTAATAATTCATGAAAATTTTTATCGCTGGCCGCAAATAAATTGAGCTGTGCCGCCCCAGCAATACCCATTTCGGTTTTACGATCGATCGAAATTCCCAGTTCGAACATTCCCAACCTCCTTGCTGACCAGTT